GGGGCTTTCCGAGCAAAGCTTCGCTCAAGACAGAGCTCTCCACAATCCACCTTAGCATGAAGGAAAGCAAATTCTAAAACCGCCTAGGAATTTTTTCTTAAATGTAACTCTTAGACTTTGAGAAATGTAATCAAAACCTTCATAAAAGAGCATTCTCCTTTGACTCGGCTTTCCCATTTCAGCAGCAGAAATGTTGCACAAGACAGAGGAAGAAAAATATAATTTAAAAACACCATTGAACTGAATTTGCTTTGCTGTCTGGAATATATTTTACAGGAAAAGTCCAGGCGGCTAGAGAACCTTAGTGAGCAGGTCAGGGGTTGATAGTGTTTCAGCTGGTGGCTTTAGATGACAAATTTCTCTTAAGACCTAGGGCATTACTGGGGCTTTAAAGTGTGCTGCCTTGAGAGTATTAACTTTGGGCTCAGGGGAGATGCCTTAGAGGATTAGAAGCCTCCAGATCGACACTTAGATTACCTGCCTCACTTGTGTTCATCTCGAAGAATGAACAAGGGTGGGGGATATAAGAGACTGGGATCCCTGGGACCCAACCCTCAGTGAAAGGAAACTCTAATAATCACTAACAAAAGCAAATAATAGTAATAATAGCTCTTACATTAGGCTTACTATGTGCCACTTTACACCCATTAATTAAATTAATTCCCACAAGAGCTCCATGCAGTTGGTACTGTTCAATCCCTGTTTCATAGATGGGTGTTTGTGACTTGGGCAATCTGAACAGCTAGTCAACATGGAGCCAATATTTTACCCAGGACTCCTCGGCCTGTGCTACTGACTAACGAATCACTAAGTGTGCCACACAGTAATTGACTTAAGAGCTAATTCTGCGTTTCTTCTCAGCTTTGAGTGGAGCCTGGAATTACTTAGAGTGAATTTAGGGGCAGCTGAGTCCCAGCAAACCTGTGATATGGAGTTTACCCTCTTTAGTCTAAATGATATTAAGGTCAGAGAATCAGCTTTTGGAGTCCTGCAGCTGATTAAATACCAGTTCACATAATGCCCAGAAAGGTGTTATTACCATTAGGTGGCTAGCTTGCAAATGGGCTTTGAAATGCCTTTTGTTGTTCTTGCTGCTTTTAAGGCTCTTGTATTTAGGTGTGAATATCTCTGCTGCATCATTGTCTTCCATGTGACACTAAAGGCCTCAGGACTTGAATTTGCCTGTAACCCCAGCTATCAAAACTGCACTGAATTTTTTTTTCCTTAAAATCTATTTTGCATTAATTTGTTCTAAGGCCTATCCCTACCTTCCAGGGGCAGTAATACATTAGACCAGGGGGTGGCATGTGTTTTCTGTAAAGGGGCAGATAGTCACTGTTTTAGGCTTTCAGGTCCCATGGTCTCTGTTTCAACTACTCAACTCTTTGTGGGAGCCACAGACAATACTAAACAAATGGCTGTGTGACTGTGTTCTAATGAAACTTTATTTATTAAAACAGGTGGCAGGCTAGATTGGGCCCAGGGCCCTTCATGTGCTGATCCCTGCATTAGAGAGGCACACTTCCTGCCTACTCCTGATCTCCTTCCTAGTACAGAGCCCTGGTCACTTCATACCTTGGGCCTCTCTCTGCCCTTTAGTTGATTTGGCCTGGAAAGGTAGATCCACATATCAGACTGGTGAATTTAGGAATTCACCAATTTGGAAGAATAAATGGGGCCTCCCAGATTCAACTCTGCCTCTTTTCCCTTGGTGGTGCCTGGCCCACAGGAGGTAGGGGTTCTGCTCTGCTTTTTCTGGAGCCCACAGCTGTGGTGGCTGGGTGCTTCAGTGACCCAAAACCCATTTGCCCAGGGTCCTTAGCAGTCTCCTGTAACCTGGCTTTTATCTCTGATAAATACGTATCTTGGCTCCCATCTGCTTAGTCTTTTGCCTTATTTCTCAATAGCCTCAAGGTAGTAATTAACAGGACCCCTCAAAGATACACATAAAACGGTTTTATGTAAATATTTCATCACGTCAATAAGCAGACAAAATTTATATTCTCTCAATAAAACAGCACAGACCAATTTGAAACACCAAGAGTCCTTGCTTTTTGGCTGGTTCTCTCATGCTGTGCATTAATACTATGCATGTGGGAGATGAAGAAAAGAAATCTCAACTAAATTGGAGTCGGGAAGGCCTGTAGGGGAACTCTCACCCCTATCAAACAGCATCAGTCACTCCAGACAGGAAGACACAGAGGCTTGCACCTCCTTAGGAAGTACAACTACTTTACTACCAAAAGAAGATTTCTCTCTCTGCTGGCCAACAGCCCAGCCAATGAGAAGTGCTGCAGCTCAGCCAATGAGAAGCCATTGCCACCCAGAACTGTTATTTTCCTCCAATGGACTTCCATTTAGAACAGCCCCTCCCTACTCCCCATTTTGCTCAATAAACCCAAGCCCCTTCCTTCATCTCTCCAGATTTGCTTATGGTTCACCATAACATGCACATCCCAAATTGCAATTCTTTTGGCTATTCTCAAATAGCCACTTTGAGGATAAAATAATTGGCGAATTGGCTTTTTAAGTTGATACATGAGTCATAAATTCATTGGCAATGATATGTTTTGTATACTTAAATTGTATAATTCACTTAATAAATAAAATTATTTACAGATAAAAGTTCTCACAAAACATATTGCTCATGGGAGGGAAAAGTATGAGGTCCATAGTGGCAATGAGGTTGGGAACCATTGCTCTAAATCCCCCTCTGTCTTCATACCCCGTGGATATTTAAGCCTGGGAGAGTCAGCAAACACAGAGACAGATGTGCTGCAGTCCTCTTTCTTCCTCCTGTCTTTTCATCGTTCCATGTTGCTCAAAGCCAAGCAGAGAGATGGCTTGGCTCTAGATACAACAGATCCTCCTAGCTGAGGTGTATGTGTTGGTTTCCTAGGGCTGCCCTAAACAAAGTACCCAGACTGGGAAGCTGAAACAACAGAAATTTACTGCTTCACAGTTCTGGCGGCCAGAAGTCTGAGATCAAGTGTCAGCAGGGCTGGTTCCTTCTGAGAGCTATGAGTGAAGGATTTGTTCCCAGCCTTTCTCCTCAGCTTGTAGAAGACAGTCTTCTCCCTATCTATTCACATCATCTTCCCTCTATGCATGTCTGTCTCTGTGTCCAAATTTCCCCTTTTTTACAAGGAGACCAGTCATATTGGAGTAGGTACCCCCTGATGACCTTACTTTGATTACCTCTGTTAAGACCCTGTCTCCAAATAAGGTCACATTCTGAGGTGCTGGGGATTAGGACCCTAACATAAGAATTTTAGGGGGACACAATCCAATCCGTGACAGTTATCTGAACTAGAAACTATTGCCGCTGTTGGTAAGGCTGAGCTCCATGACCTTCTCTTACATTTCACCTGTGGCAAGTACTCAACTGTGAGCTGACCTGATCTGAATGGGGATTCATCTGGCCTCCCTGGATTGTGGGTGAGGAGGAGTAAAGGAAGAACGCATTCTGTGGGAATACCTTATACTATACGAGGGAAAGACCGCCTTCCTCCCAGGCACGTGGTAAATCTGCAGCCCTCTCTGGGCTACTCATTGTCTCTGCAGGCTGAGCGTCCCCAATTAATCTTCCTTTTAATAATGATGTCCCTGCATCCTGAGCTGCAAGACACACTGCAGTAAGACACAGCGCAAGACATTTAGGAAAAACAACGAGAAGAAAGGAATAGACGACTCCCCACAAGTCCTTAATTTGCGGCTTTTTCTTTAGCTGCTTGGTGGCCTTCGCAGACCCGCAGGCTTTTCTCATGAGGCGCACGTGCCTGGGGGGGCCAGGCTAGAATCAAATGACCGCTCCCAGCTCCCTCTCCCTGCAGGCAGCTCTTCAGATCTGCCTCATGGTTGTCTTAGGTTTGCAGGCAGGCTTCTAGAAGTCACTGTGGCAATGCTTTCAGGCAGTGGCTGTTTCCCGACTACCCCGGCCTGCGGCAGACAGACCCCAGAGGGAGCCGTGCCCCCGCCGGCCGGGCAGCCCCGGCGATCCCGAGACCCTCCTCCAGATCCTGGGCAGAGGAGTCACCTTGCTGTTCCCGGTAGTAGTAGAAGCCGGGCGGCTCTCCCCGCTTCCCTGAAGAGCCCTCAGCCCTAACTCTCCCCCAAACGGCTCGGAACATCCACCTGAGCATTCCCGCGCCCCACCCCAACGCCGCACAGCCTGCCCCCCAGCCCCTCGTCCCAGCTGAGCATACACCTACACACACCGGGCTCCGCCCTGCCCATCCTCTCTGGGGAGGGCGGGTCCACCTTCCTCTGGTGGTCGTGGTAGCTGTACTTTTTGGGGTCTGGCGTCCCGGAGGGAGGCCGCTCTCCCACTCTCTCTCCCCCCGTGACTCTGAAGCCCCCTAATTTGTCTCCGTGCTCCCCGCCCCGGGCCCCCTCACGGGCTGTATAGTTCTGCCCCCAGAGTACTACTCCGGAGTTGCAGCCCGGTCCCAGGGCACACACCCCGCCTGACCCCGATCCCACCTACCCCGCGCCCTCCTCCCTCGCCCCCCGGCCCCCGCAGCCCTGCCCCAGACCGCCTCCCCAGCAATGTAACCCCGCCCCCAGAGCCCCACCCGGGGATTGCGGCCCCCTCCCCAACGCCCCTCCCCGGGAGTGCACCCCGCCCCCAGCAGCCCTCCCGGGGGTGCGGCCCCGCCCCAAGCACCTCTTCCCTGCAGTGCAGCCCCGCCCCCAGCGCCCCTCCCGGGGGTGCGGCCCCGCCCCCAGCGCCCCTTCCCTGCAGTGCAGCCCCGCCCCCAGTGCCCCTCCCCGGGAGTGCACCCCGCCCCCAGCACCCCGCCCGGGGGTGCGGCCCCGATCTCATCCCTCTTGCCCAGCAGTGGAGCCCCGCACCCATCCCGTTCCCCCGGCACCCTCCCAGGCAGTAAAACTCCGTCCCCGCCCCCTACCCCCTCCCCAGCCTCTCCCCCCACCTCTAGCAGTGCCGCCCGCCCCCCGCACCCCTCCCGGCCGCGCGGGCCGTGCCCGGAGCCGCTCACCTCGCCCCGGCGGTAGTAGTAGCTGTGCTCCTTGGGGTCCAGGCGCCGCGGGGGGACATAGCTGAAGGCGGACAGCGCCGAGATGGGCGGCGGCCGGGGCTCGCCCCGCAGCGTGGCGGCGGTGATCTCCTCCTCGTCGTCCTCCACCCCGCCCGCGTCCAGTGCCCCCGCGGCCGCCGTGCTGGGTCTCGCCCGCCGAGGGGCCCAGTCCCAGTCGGTCCTCCGCAGCCTGCCCGGCGCCCGCGTTCGGAGGTCGCCTGGAAACCGCAGGCGCGGGACGCCGCCGGGGCCGCGGGGCGGGGCCAGGGGCGGGGCCGACCCTCCCCACCTCCCTCCTGGCACCTCCGGCCCCACCCGGTCTTTCCTCCGCTGTGCGTTGGGTGGGGGGAGCCCCACCTGCTACAGCGGCTGCGTCGGCGGTCCCGGATGAGAGACGCCCCCGGGATCAGCAGTAAGCAACCTGCTTCCCTGTCCCCACGCAGTGTGGGTTCGTTCGCTCCCAGACACTCGGTCCTCGGGCAGTTAATGACTGTGCACCTACTGTGTGTCCGCGGTGGAGCTGCAGCCTTGAGCCAAGCAGCCGGTGTCCACGGGGAGCTCTCAGTATGGTGGAGAAGACAGGTGATAGACGTGAAAAGACCAGTAACTTGAAGAGGGTCTAGAGCAGCGCCGCCCAGTAGGAACATGACGGGAGGCACACATGTAATTTAAAACTTTCTGGTAACCACACTAAAAAGGTGAAAAGACAGGTACAGTTAATTGTAATAATATATTTAACTCAGCATGGCCACAACATTGTCATTTTAACATGTGGCACCCGTCACAGTTCAAGTGTTGGGTGGGCGCATGCGGCTGGTGGTTACAGTCTTGGCCAGCGCAGGTGTGGAGCTTGCATGAGTTAAATCAGTGTGATACGGGATCTGGCAAAAGTCGGCTGCTCGGGGTGGGGCTCTAGCAAACGTGGTTATAGTGTCTCTCCTTCTGAATGCTGGTTCCATAGGTCTGAACCATCGCGGGGGCTGAAAATTCACTGAGCTGAAACTCATGATTCAATGAAAGCTTTTTTAAAAGTAGGGGGGACAACAGACGACAAAGCCGTGGGAAGTACTTTAACCAGGGTGCTCAGGGAAGGCCAGCCTCTGTGAGGAGGTGATATTGGAGCTGAAATAATGATAATAAGGAGCCAGATTTGTGAAAACGTGCTAGAAAGTCCCTTGCAAGCAGAGGGAGGAGCAGCTTCCGGGAGCCTGAGGCAGAGCCAACCTGCATGTGTTCCAAGGACAGCAAGAAAAGCAGGTGGCAGAGCTTCATGAAGACGAGGACACTGGTAGGAAGTGAAGGCAGGCAGGTAAGCAGGGGCCAGGCAGGCGCAGGAGAGCGTCCCACCGTCTCGCCCCTCCCTCTCACTGGAGTCTCTTCTCTGCAATTCTTTGATGCAGGCTGGTGGCTAAGTCCAAGGCACCTGGTGGTCCCTCTCTGTTGAGGTCTCCTTGTGTCTCCTGGAGGTCCTCCTGGGCAGGACTTAGACAACCCTGAGCCACCACTCTCTCTCACAGGCCCCCATGAGGGCCTAAGAACCTCGTGTGTCGTCATTGCCCTAATAACCATCTCTTTGCTCCACTGGCAGGACAGATGAGTTGGGTATGAGTCAGACAAAGTTCAGACACCAATCCGTCATGTCCCCAAGCTTAAGGGGACACACGAGAGGCTGACATGTCCTTGGAGCTTGAGGACAGAGCACCACCACCTCTCCTACCTGTGAAGTGAAGGACAAGTTTAGCTCATCCTACCCCCATGGGCAAAGATTCTCATGGAAACACCAGCAAAAAAATAAAAATAAAAAAAAAACCTTATAAATCTACTACCTCCCCCAACCTCTCCAACCTCTCAAAGACAGGAGATAGATCAGCTAACGGTCATGAGACTTTGCAAGCCTTGCATAAGTGATCTGATTGTCATACTTTGGAAAATGGAAGTAGTTGACACCAATCTTGAGAAGTCGGCTAAAACTGAGACTGAAATCGTTTCATTGTAAAATCCTCTTCCACAGCTATATGGATGTGAATCTTAGCTTCTATTTCAGTAGGTGACATTTCGTTCTGCACTAGACCAACAGCTCTGGAGGGCAAGGCTACATACATACATCTTTTTCATCTTTGATGGCTCAAGCCTAGCATACGGTAGGTACTCCACAAATATTTGGTGACTAAAGAAATACAGTTGCTACAGTTTGGGTTCCTTCTAAAGGTGAGTTTGGGACAAGGACTTGGGTGCTCTTGCCTTATTTGGGAAATAATTCCAGGGAGCAGGAGTGAGGGACCAGGGGAGTGAGGGCAGCGGGAAAGTCAATATCAGGATGAATTATCAAGGTCACCATTGAAGACAGCTGGAGCTCCATCGTGCCCAGAACTTTCTGGGGAGCCTGGAGAACGCCTCTCAGAATCGCCGCCAGATGATCATCATGGAGGCACCTTTTATGTCTTGCTCCCAGTCCTCCGGGGTTGAGACCTGCCCCTGGATTGCTCATTCTGGACCTTGTATGACTCTTGCCTGGTGCTGCGCATCTCATCTCCTGGGTGTCAACGAAGCCCTGGGGCTGACAGGAAAGGCATCTACCTGAGGTGTGATTCTGTTTTCAAGAGGTGAGTCATAGCCCCCTGAGGAAACAATAGGTAAGATGAACTTTGTGAGTTACAATTATCAAGAGGTTTTAGTTCCTTTTTTTTTTTTTTTAATCTTTTCCTATATAATCCTATTATGTATTCCAGGTACATGAGTGGAATACAAGGTCAAAGAGTCCAATTTGTGTAAGTCCGTCGTGTCTGTAACTTGTACTTGCAAAGTTCTGTGCAGAGGAACAGAAGGATAAAGGAATGAAACCCTACTCTCAAAGGAAGGGAATTAGTAACTGAAGAATGCAGACAGAGCACGGGTTAACTATGCAGGGGATCAGATCAGCTTAGTGTCAACTAACAACCTCAGTTTTATGGGATGTTCATGCTCTGAATCCCATTCCAGCATCATGGAATTTACGCCGCTGCCTGGAGCTGACATAGGGTGGATGATGTTGCGCTGGTCTGGGCTGGGCTTACCTCGAGTGCCCTAAGTGCTGTTTATGTAGCCTGCCCTGCTCATCTCCCAGGACCTCTGCTACCTGCAGCCCCCATTGGAAGATGGGAGCGAACATGCTGGAGGGCAGCCTTGGCTGATGGAACTTGGACAGTTCATGGGAGTTCAGGAGATGCCTGGTCCAAGCTGCAGCTGAAACCACACGCCATTCCTCTTGACTTCTGAGCAGAATGTAAGCCTGGAGAGAGCTGGTGGGAAGAACTCTCTCTGTTAATTTGAGGCAGGGAAGGAGAAAGCAAAGATGGCAGCTGTCATGTCACATGTCACATTAGCAGTAGCTTCAGCACAGCTTACCTGGCATATATGTTATTTTTATCATGAGTTCTCATAAACCCATACACTTTCTAAGTTCAGAAGAACCCTCTAGTTCTTTATGCTGATGAGAAAACTGAGATGTAGGCAGGTAAGTGACTTGATGCAGGTCACACAGCCAGTGGGTGCTCCTACTGAAAGGTGTACAAAATATTTGGAGAGGGAGGGGCTAGTCTGAGGGAAAGGTTTTCTCCTTGGGGCCTCAGACCATTCAGAGATGGGGTGTGGCCTGGACAAAGCACAAAGCTTTAGCCAGCGGTTCTGAGCCAGCACGCCTACGCAGCTGGGAAACGCAAACCATCCAGAGTTCCTTCTCTGCACCTTGTAAACCTTTGTTAACTGAGGTGGAGAGAGGAGGGGAAATCGCCTGTGAATACCTTAAAACAACAGCATCCGTTTTTGTTTTTGTTTTTTTAATTTTCTGTTGAAAATGCAAAAAATTTAAAACAGGGTTAATATCTCCATTTTAAATTTAAAAGCTTTTATAATTATTTTGCTTGTAAATTCCACCGTAAACTCATTTAAGTGGCACGGCATAATTGGACTTTAATTCACAGGCTTTAAAACAGCTTAAAATTACTTGGATTAAGTATTTCTTTGCATTTGGCAGGTTTTATGATGGTTCAGAGTAAGAGGGAGAGATGCCCAATCACACATATTTGTAACTAGCTAGAACTGCCCATCTGTATATCCATCACATTTAAAGGGCATTATGAACTCAAGGGTTATGAAATGACCCTCCTGCGGCACTGGTTTCCAAATCCCCCATCAGTCCTGTTTGACAGTGAGAAGACCAGCAAGACCCTGGTCCTGGAACAGGGGAGCCACAGCCCTTTCTCTAAACCATCTTCACCGGATCTTGGGCACAGGCAGTGGTCCATGGTGGGGTTAAACCAGCCTTTACCTTATCTGACGCCTCCTCCCAAGTAAAAAGGCATGAATACTGTCAGGAGATTTAGAAAGCCTGTTGGTCATCAGGTTTTTCCTGTAGGCTGGCTCATTCAATGGATGGAGTCCCTATGCATCACACTTATGAATCAAGATGTATAAATGTAAATTTAGTTTTGGTTTGTTCACCTTGATGATTTTGAAATAAAAATGAATGTCATTATATATGATGCCTAAAATGAAAAATCCCTGATACTGACAACTCTAGCAATGAGCAGCACCACCTTGCAGGAACCAGGGTTCCTTAGAGAGGGCTGACCCCAGGTCTAGAGAGGAAATGGTGAGCTTGGGGTATCCTCTTCTGTCAAGAAAATTTCAAAAACTGATGTGTCAAGGTCAAAAGGACAAATGGGCCCATCTGAAGGGTATCCCACTGGTCTAAAATGGGACAATTTAAGCATGAAAAAGATGACTGTAATCAATTGAAAACAAAAAAAACTGACCAGACCACCAACTCTTTATTCTAAACATTGATACGAGGAAAGAAACATATGTCTTGTTTTTTCTGTATAAACCTCATTTTAGGGTACACAAAGGGTTGATGTGAGAAATTTCTTCTTTATAGATGAATACAAGTTAATAAAAGTAGAAGGAATAATAGAATTAGGAAATCATTTTTCTTTTAAACAACTAGTGGGATAAAGAATGCAGGCAATGATCATCAACAGATGCTACAGGCATTAAGACAAAGGTTGATGGAGACTCTACAGAGGATGGATCAGGTTGGTAATATAGGAACCCACTATCTGTCTTAATGAATATCACTAAGAGGGGACCATGGGACACTGTGGTGTGATGCAAAGCAAACACAAAGCACCACTTCTGAGGCATCCTTGCCGAAAAAATTTAAGCTAAATCTAAGCAAGCCTCTGAATCTAACTTTTAGTTTAACAGGAAATATAGCGGAGAGAGGAACAAGTTAGATAACACCAAATCAGTACTGTGGGGCATTTTACAGGGCAGCTGGTCTAACATCTCCAATAACTTAATGACACGAAGACTAGGGGAGGAAGGGGGCAGTTAGAGACATTAGAGACTTAAGACTTAGTGGAATAGCATCTAAAAGTAATATGTGGCCTTTGGATCTTGATTCAAACAAACCAACAGTAAAAAATTATTTTTGAGAAGCATAGGAAACTTAGAATCTAGACCTAGTATTAAATGATCATAGAGAATAATTATGAGTTTTGTTAGTTGTAACATTGATAGAATAGATAAAAAAGAAAATATTTATTGGTTATGGATGCATACTGAAGTATTTAGGATAAAAGTGTATGATAATGTGAATTTCTCTACAAACATTCCAATAAAAAAAGGAAAAGAAAGTAAAAGAGAAGGAATAGATGAAACACGATTGGAAAATGTTGGTATTTTTTCATGCTGAATAAAAGGGCTTGTGGATTCACTGAACTATTCTTTCTATACACTTTCTTTCTGTGTGTTCAAAGTTTTCCATAATAAAAGTAAAAAACAGTAGTTATTAAGAGAGATTGTTTCTTGCAAACATCAGAACCCAAAATATCAGTTCAAGCCACAGATCGTGTGCCCTCTATGCCAGGGATTGTGGGAGGGGGTGGGGAGAAAGATTTTTTTCTGAGATGGATTAAAAGTATATTGAGACAAAATTTCTTATGATGGAGTCCAACAGCCAAAGAACACAAACAAAAAGTTAGGTTTATTGCCTGTTGAGGCAAGGGAGAGAGCACACCAGAAGAGGCAAACAGGGAGGACAGGGTGATTAGAGGATTAGGGTAAAATGGATGAAGCCAGGTTGGAGAGACTCTCAGCTGAGCAAGTTCAGGTGTAAAAGGGTTAATGTGACGCCTGGCCTGAGAAACAGACTCAGGACACTCAAAGGTAAGATAAACGTGGGATATTGTGTCCAAACCCCCCTTAGCTGAAGCTCTGCATCTGGTTGGATATTGAGGTTACTTTTTGTCAAAATGACCCATGTGGCTCAGATCCTATAGGCAACAGAGGGATGGTCCATTCTTACTGATAAGATTTCAAACGGCAAAGATTTTATAGAATGAGGTTTCTCAGCACAATGTCCTTGATGCTAATTAACAAGAGCGCTTGCCGCAGGTTTGGGGTGGTGCCCCAGGAATATTAACCAGCATGTCAGTAGTATTCCTCCTCATAGAGCATTCCTGACATGCACCCTCACCACGAGTTGTAGTAATGAATCTTAACTGAGAATGCAACATAACACAAGTACCAATAAGAACAACCCAAAGGCTTACTGAGCACTTCCTATTTTCCAGGTACCGGCCAAGCAATTTACAAGGCATGTCTCATTCCACTATCCTGCGCTAAGTATTTAGACTACAAATGAGTCTGGGTGTGTTTCCAGTTTGGCGAAATCTCAGCTTTTGGAGACTAATTCACCCAGCTCACTTCCACGGGGCCAAGATCCCCTCCCTGCACTTGTACATAAAGTCTTCCAGTGGGTGTAGGTTTTGAAGAGGGAACTGACTGCCTACTTGTTTTCCCAGAATTCTATCAAAGAGGCTGAAATATGCTCCTTTCCTTTCTTGCTTCCATCTAACAATTGTTTACCAAGTCTCTATACACACCCAGGCGTACAAAGACTCGGCAGGTAGGATCCCAGTCTTCAAGGAACTTTCACTCCAGGAGGCGTCTCTTCATCCCAGGGTACCATTTACCCTCTCGTGTCTAGGTGGGCCTGGCTCAGGCAAAGTGTATTCCTTAATCCTTAAGAAGAAGGTAATGAAAATGCCTGTTTTGTTCAGGCAGATTGTCACCACACCCTTCCACGACTCCTGCCTCCCGCCACACACACGTGCACGCGCGCGCGCACACACACACACCCCCCCATCAACTGCTGGAACACAATAAATGTCTTAAGCTTTGCTGCCCCCTAGAGGTAGACTCGAAGAATATCACCGTGCTTCAGCGGTGATGCTTGCAAGTAAAACAATTTTTTTCACCCATTTCTCTTTTTTTGCGTTTATAGTCATGCACCACGTAACGACATTGGGGGCAACGATGGACTGTGTATATGGTGGTGTCCCATAAGATCAGTACTATATAGCCTAGGTGTGTAAATACGCTAGGATGTTTGCACAACGACGAAATTGCCTAACGACACATTTCTCAAGATGTAAACCTGTCATTAAATGATGCGTGGCTGTACTTTTGAAAAACTATAGCAAGACTATGCCTTATTGAAAATTCTTATCAATATATGGTAACAAGAGCTCTTAGACTGGATATGTAATTTCAATAAACACATCACTTTTGCTTGTATAGGTAAACATGAGGATTCAGTTTATAAGGACTTGGCTTTATAATTGTACAGAGCTTGTCAAATTCACCCGCTGATGAAACCATCAACCTTATATCTATTTATTCGCCTAAGTTATTTTCATGACATACACATACACATTTTCAGGATTAAACTTTGCTTTAAAACAAAATGCCAGTCAGGTTGAGCTTCCTTTCCTGTGACTAACCCTGTCTGCTTTGTGCTGGGCGCTCTGGCCATGCAATGCCTGGAATGCTCTCTCACCACATAGGCGCCTCCCTTCCTTCTAGAATTCAGCTCACAAATCACCCCACACAGCCTTTGCTCCCTCCCAGGCGGGCCTGAGGTCTTCTGCACTCCCAGAGTCTTGCACATTCTTCCGGTTGTCAGCCAGCTCATCACTGTGATCACCGCTCATTCCTGCTTCCCTTGGAGCTCTAGCCTTTAGTGGGTGCCCAGGATGATCAGAGCTCTTTGGTAAATGTTTGGTGAATGAATGAATGAATGAATGAATGAATGAAGTGGGTAGGGGAGAGCCTCAGGAGAGAGAGGCTCAACAGAGGCTGTAACTAGAAGTGCAGAGGGAGGAGTATCTGATTCCGATGAGAGCAACAGGAAAAAGGTCACGATGGGTGAGAGAGATCTAGACAAACCGAAAAGGTGGAGGAAGAACATTTTAGGCTGTGCTTTTCCTTATTGTTTCTAACGGACTGTCACTACCTCTCTGGGTGGCTATTTAGTCCAGTGTCTCTCCCTCTTTAAACGTAAGCTGTTTACCTCGCCCCCACACTTCAGGGTTGCTTCACACCCAGGGGTGAGCCGAGTCACGGTGGGGGGCACAGTGCAGGTGGGCTGGCCCAGAGACTGGGAGTGAGGCCACAGGGCCCAGGGACACATCAGCAGCAATGGCTTCTCTCCTGTTCAATCTCCATTTGCTCCCACTGTCTCTTTCCTTCTCTGGAATTGGAAGCATACACTTTACAGAATGATCTTAGGGCTCATCTAGCCTCCATTTCCTGTTCTAAAGATAAACAGACCCAAAAAGGTAAAGTGAAGTACACAGCATGATGGGGTGGTTCAGACCAACTAATGCTAGCTAACATAGGTTTACTCTGCTCTAGGCACTTTCCTAAGAGTTTTATGTATATTAACTCATTCTCATTCCAACCTGCTATGGGTTATAGCCTCCCAAAAAGCTCTATCGATGTCCTAACCCCCAGTACCTGTGAATGTGACCTTATCTCGACATAGGGTCTTTGCAGATTAATCAAGTTAAGATGAGGTCATTAAGGTGGGCTCTCACCCCATATGGCTGGAGTCCTTGGAAAGAGAGAAATTTGGACACACGCACACACACAGGGAGACGCCAGGTGAAGACACAGAGACACACACTCAGGGAGATACCAGGTGAACATGGAGGCAGAGATTGGAGTGATGCTGCCACAAACCAAGGAACCCCTGGGGCCACCAGAAGCTGGAAGAAGCAAGAGAGGATCCTGCCCTAGAGGCTTCCGAGGGTGCATGGCCCTGCCACCACCTTGATTTCGGAATTCTAGCTTCCAGAACTGTGAGAAAATAAATTTGTTGTTTTAAGCCACCCAGTTTGTGGTCCTGTGTTGCAGCAGTCCCAGGAAATTATTTACAACCCCATTATCATTTATGATTATCCCTGAGGAAACTGAGGCCCATGGTCACTCAGCTAGCGGAGAAGCTGGAACTCAAGCCCAGGCTAGATTCTTCATCACTATGCTCTACTGCTTCTCAAGACCAGATTCAAGTCTTCATTCACCACTTGTGATGAATGAAATGATGGGTACGACAGGCATCCTCTCTGAGCTGGTCCACTGATCTGTAAAGTGGGACCACCACCTCAATCAGATGGCTGGGAGGCTCATAGGAGCAGGATGCTGAAGTACTCAGCAAGGGCTCACACAGCGAGTGACTGTTACACAGCAGCTCCCTTCCTCTCCTCGTCAAGGTCGCAGAACGAGCTGGTGGAAGGACCCAAGTCTCCAACTCCAGGGCTCCTACTCCACCAGTCTGCCTCCTCGCTCTCCTCTCCCCGGAGACATCCCCCTGACCGTAATAGGACAACGAGGCATCTGCAATGAACTGGAGACAATTTAATCCATTTTTGATTTAGAGTTTAGAAGTTTCTGCCTCCACTCAAACACCCTCCAAAAAACGTTACCTAAATTAAGTTGCTTTTCAAAACGAAAACAAGATAAAAGCTCCCACACTAATATATTGTCTTATTAACTAAACGGTTATCTCTGCATAAGTCCATAATTACACGTTTATATGCAAAGTACTAGTCTATTTCTCATTGCTCCTTCTCCTTACCATATATTACTTTCTATAACAAAATGTAAAAGAACGTGGGAGATAAAATTTCTTCCTTCTATTTGTTAGAAGAGGAAGTAAGGGTCTTGAAAGAGCATAATATTTTCTGTTAGCAGACAACTATTACAAAACAAAAGATTTAAAAATAACAACACTTACTCATTATATTCTTTTATTGTACTTGATCAATTCTGATGTATAAAAATATCTATGATACTATTAAATAAAAATAAAAATTAATTTTAAATTTACCACTGGTAAGTGTACCCATGGTATAAGGAAAACCAAACACCCTTTCCAGATCCCCCCAGTTCCTATACAAATGGCTAATTCACAAATTATATTCTTTTTCTTATACGGAGTCCCACGAAAACACAAGTTCTTGCACTATCTGAGTGGTGAGGCCAGTATTCCTTCTTGTTACCGATGAACACCAGCATTTTGAGAAAACAGTTTTCTTTGTAAATATTCCACCAACTGAAGTCTTGATTTTAGCATCTCAATCTCGTAATAGGGGATCTGTAAGGGGAGGAAAATAAAGATAGTTATAATCCTCCACAACCTGAACCACCTTGGTTTTGCGCTCACCTTGTCTGCCTCTTGCCCTCCCCCACGGCGGCCTGACAGCTCCCGAGGGCAGAGATCACAGCTGACTCACCCTGGATCCCCAGTGCCCACCACAGTGCCCAGCCCGCAATAAATATTTGTTGACTCAGTAAGTGGGATATTTAAATAAGAATCAAACATGATCTCTGTTCTCAATAAGCTTACAAATTAGGTGCCAACTTAAAATACATAATAAGTACGGAAAGTAAGCAGTAACACAAAGCAGAACATGCAAAGAAAATTGGTGCTCTAGTATGGACAGGGAGTCAGGATTTTAGATTAGGGTGAAACAAGAACCTGAGGTGGGAGCTGATGAAGGACAGGATTTAGATACTCAGAGTGGGAGACAGCAGTCTGGTGGTGGAAGAGCACAGGCAAACGAAGGAAGGCAAGAGAGAATGGAGGCAGCTTGGTGAAAGAGGAAGAGACCACTCAGCTTGGAGCAGGCCGACTAGGGAGCGTCTGGAATCCTGAGATGTAGAGGACTTTTCAGTTTCTCCCGTAAGCAGTTAGGAAACACTGAGGGTTTCTGAGCACACACTGGCATGATTAGTTTTAAGAAAATGAATCTGGGGATATACAACACGGAGTGAAAAAAGTAACCAGACAGGAAAGCAGAGAGCAGACTGGTGACAGCTTAGGGAACTGGGGAAGCTGCATGCACATTCACTGCTGACTCCTCACATAAGACTCTGTCAAGTCATGTATGATGTAAACACAAATAAGGTCTTACACAGTTAAGTGTTGATGAAGATCCTGGTTTTAATAGGTCATCTTGTCCATTTTATTTATTAAGTCAGAGGGAAATTAAAACAGATATTCCAATAATTTTATAATTCTAAAAGCAGGCTGAAGCATAGCTTATAGATAATCCAGGTATGCCCCACTTTTGGAAAACTGAAGGTCTGAAAAGTCTGTATTTCAAAATATAAATCCAGAGATTTAAGCCTAATTAACAAAGTTGGCGTTTTTTTTTGGGGGGGGGTGGTGAGGAAGGTTAGCCCCGAGCTAACATCTGTTGCCAATCCTCTTTTTGCTGAGGACGATTGGCCCTGAGCTAACATCTGTGCCCATCTTCCTCTATTTCATATGTGGGACACTGCCACAGCATGGCTTGATGAGTGGTGTAGGTCTGTGTCCGGGATCCAAAACCGTGAACCCTGGGCCACTGAAGCGGAGCACGTGAACTTAACCACTACGCCACTGGGCTGGCCCCCAAAGTTGGCATTTAAATTTACTTTTAGTAAGTTTGGTCCACTGGGCTGGCAGACCACTTAGTACCCTGGAAAAAGCATGAATGTGAAACTGCTTTTGGAAAAAAACATAGGTGAAACTGTACCTGAACCACTTGATAGCCAAGCAAGCGCAGGTGTCTCTGTTTAATCGCTTCCTTCCCCAGTAAGCGTTGACTGTTCAAACAAAACCGTTTTGGACCATCAATGCACAGTGCTACCCTGAAAAATGTGAGAGAGAGAAACTTACCTTTTAGAACAATCCAAAATATTTATATATTTTTTAGTTGCCAGAGTTTATTTGGGATTTTGCTATTGCTATGTGCCAGTATTATTTTCAAATGAGTCATTAATATGCTATCCTTTAATCTGTTGAAAAAGCACTCAATTTTATTAATGTTTATAAAATGTTACAAGGAATTTCCAAAAACGGTATGCTGCAAAGTAGTGTTTTAATTTCCAGAATCACGTCTATTTTTTCCACCTTAAGAAAACAACTACTGTTTATTAACTTCAACAAGTTTTGTAACATAAAAACCACACCAGTTTCTTTACCTTTTATGTACATCTTCATCAACTGTAAATGGTAATACAAATCCTTCTTCATCTAATTTAATTTCAACATCTGGTGAGACAAGAAAGGAAAAATTCTTCGTGTGATACCCTCACAAACATTATCTTCCTTCACTCCTCCTTGTTCTGATTTCTTCCACACTGCATTTACCAAGTGGGCTGAAGGCTGCAAAGTAATGACCACACCAGACAATGGTGAGAATTTTAATTTAACTGGCTCTATGCTCAACCAAGTCAGCCTTAAACAAAGAAGGCTCAAGTACTTTAAAACAAGTGGGACCTCAGGTGTCTGGGGTACGACAAGAACCATGCATACCCTCTCTCTCCTTATATTAAGTGGCGGGAACCCTTCAATAAGTCAAGTTAGACAGCTACGCAACTCTGGAGCTCCCAGTGCCTTGGGGTAGGTAGAGCATCCCACACCCTGTCAGACACGTGGTCCCTGAGCACGGGCAGACTCCGCTTCCTTGGCTCTGAGTTTCTGCCATTCCTTTTGTAAAAGGGGCCCATTAAGTAGGAGAGGAGTAGGTGTGACCACCTGAAGCCTATAAACACTGTCTTCTTTGAGCTGATTTTCTTTTACTCATCAATTAAAAAAATTCTAAGGGCAGAAGGACTTAGACTCTCTGGTCAGCGCTATCCAACAGCACTGTCTGCGATGATGGAAATCTTTATCCCTGCACTGTCCCATACTGCAGCCACGAGCCACCTGAGCACTTGAAATGTGGCTACTGCTACAGAGGAACTGAACTTGAAGTTTTAAAATTTTTAATTAATTTAAATGTAAACAGCGGCATGTACTAGAGGCTACTATATTGGACGGCACTGGCCTAGAGCATAAGAGCAGCGAACAACTGCTATGTTCTAGGTATTATTCTGCATTATCTCATTTAGTCCTTAAACCAGTCTTCCAGGTCACTTCTCTTCTTGCTCTCATTTTACAGATAAGAAGCCAGCAGAAAGAGGTTAAATATGCCTCCCAAAACATTCTGCTCCTATGTGGCCACCACGTGGACTCACACCCAGAGTGTCAACTGACAGCCCTCCTGCTCACCCCTGCTCCACTTCGCCTTCAGGGATGGGCCAATTCCATTTCATGTTTCCAGACCTCCGATGGCTACTAAGTCCCGCACAGTCCAAAACAGGACAGCACGCTGAGCTTTAGTACACAAACGACGGCAGAACTCCCCACCACTTACCTATCGTGTAACGATAGGGCGTTAACACTTTTGAAGCAAAATACACCCTTGCTCCTAGGAGATCGATCAGCCCAGTCTTCACAGATTTATAAAGCTGGAAGTCCACAGGGGTCTCCAGGGAGCAGCATGGAGTGAGAAATGACTTCACTTGATATTTAGGAAGAAGTTTTGGACCCTAAAAATCATATGTGCAAACACAAGACAAAAAAATAAGATACAAAACCAGAGAATAAAATGAAGGTTGCCCAAGTATAAAAGTCTGATATGAGATTACTTTATAGGCAGGTTACTTTCCCAAGACTTAGGACAAACATCTTTCTCAAAATGACAATACAAAATATTCTTGTTATAGTTCAAGTCCAAAAGTTCAAAATATCTTTTAAAGGTGTTTTAAAAGTAGTCAATGGTCACAGAAAGAAAGAAAGGGAGAAAAAAATGCTAGTACATACAGCTCAAAAACATCTTTGGAACTCGCAGAATTGCTTTAAAAACACTCAACTGAAGTTTTTAATAGTGGAAAACGTGATAAAGGTGACATTTCAATTTAGTAAGAAAAGGATAGCTATGTAATAAATGGTGCTAGCAATTGGTTACCCATCTGGAAAAGAACTAAGTTAAAGTTCTAGCACACATCACAGGCTATAATAAATTCCAGGTGGATTAAAGATCTAAATATAGTCAGAAAAACAATATTTTAAAAAATTTATTCTTAAGTGAGATAGGAAACTCAGAAGCCATAAAAGACTGATAGATTTGACTACAGAAAACTTAAAAATTTCTGTATAGCAAAAAGACATCATAAAAAATATTAAACTAAAACCAAAAAAATTAAAAACTACACACTAGGAGGAAATATGTGCAATGTACATAATAGTTATTATCTCTTGTTTTACAGTGTGTTCTAGGACAAAAAAAAAAGACCAACAACCCAATAGTATGAGTTAGAGTGTCAGAAGGCAATTCACAGAAAACGTAAACGACCAATCAACATTTGAAAATATGCTCAGCTTCGTTACTGCTCATTAAAATGCAATTTAAACATGTGACATGATACTCTTTTTCACTGAGCAGAATGACAAAATTAAAGAAACTAATAACTCTGTAATAGAAGTGGGGGAGCCAAGGCCGCCTCATTCATCACTGTTGAAATGTGACATCTACAACTATTAGGGAAGAAAATCTGTTAGTGTCTACTGAAAATTAAGCCAGTAATCCCACTTTCAGGAATATAGTCTCTAGATTAAAAAAACATAAAGGTTCCAGTATGAAAGGATATGCAAGAACACTTATTACAGCATTGTTGATAGAGACAAATGTTGGAAAAAACCTGGAAGTCCATCAATGATGGAACTATGGAATAAATATGGTGAAATATCATGCCGTTCTTAAAAAGAATGCATTTGACCTTTTTTTTTTTTTTTTGTGAGGAAGATCAGCCCTGAGCTAACATCTGTTGCCAATCCTCCTCTTTTGCTGAGGAAGACTGGCCCTGGGCTAAACAACCATGCCCACCTTCCTCTACTTTATATGGGACGCCACCACAGCATGGCCTGACAAGTGGTGTGTCAGTGCGCACCAGGGATCCGAACCCTGGGCCACCGCAGTGGAGCGCACGCGCACTTAACCGCTATGCCACCGGGCCGGCCCCAGAATGCATTTGATCTTTATGTATTGCCCCCAGAGGAATGTCTATGTTATAGTGGGCATAAAAGCAAACTGTACTTTGAACAGTCCCACTCCATGAAAAGAGAGAAACTGGATAGTAGTTATGTATTTGTGCACATCTGGACATAGAAACTGCTGTTAACACTGTTCCTTCAGGGAAGGAAGGAACTTGGGTGTACCTATTATTTAGATTTAGCACTGTTTAAGCTGTTTTAAAGGAAAATAGTGGTATCTTTCCATTCTTATACCGTACTTCAAAATGAGCTACTCTTAAATTTAAGCTGGTCTTAAATGTGCTCTTCCCTTGGTGCAGGCAAGTAGGGAGGACCAGGCAGGGATGCGCAAGTCTGGAGAGCCATTTCTGATCCCAAACACGGTGCGTGATAATGTTGTGAGAGTGAATCTTTAGAGTACTTGCCTAGAAGCACAAACTCCACCTCCACTAAACTCTATCAGGTAGGAGTGAAATTGCTGAGTTGGCTTAAAAACACACTCAGAAATTATTTAGGACATGTTTGGTCCAGAGATTCACACTTTTACAGCTGACAGCTATGGGGAGTGCTAAAACCTTTTAAAACCCTGAGTGAATCTATGAGAACTAAGACACATATGCCTACAGCACTTAACAAAACCTTCCAGGAAATCTTACACAGCAGGAAATGGGTCCCTCAAAGACAAGAAAACAGGAATGGGGTCAACTTACCAAAGAAAAGGCTATCTGATGGCAACTGACTCCCAGTGATGAGAGTTCTGCTTTCTAATGAGGTTACTGAGACAGATCAAAAGTGAAGGAACTTACAAGATTTCTGGGGGGGGGCGGACACAAAAGGACACTGCCCCCACAGGGAAATAAAACAACAGGGCACCTGCTTTTACCTTATAGAAAGGGCATTCTAGGATCGAGGTTAAGAAAAGCTGGGTCAGTTGTGCCAGGCTCAGTCTGTCCAAGTATGATTCATCACCTGAAAGAAAAAGCATCACAGTCATAGTTAAGTTTGAATTTTCGCAGGTGTAATGAGAAAAAAGAACATACAACATTCGTTTATTCACTCTGGAAGTAATGTATGTTAAATGACACTAGGGAAAGAACTTGCTAGAACTCATTATGCCTTCTTGCTTGCCAACGATGAAATTTCATTTTGACTTCCAACAACTCAAGCTCTTAACTACAGAACATAATTAAGTGACAAAATCTGTTAGCAGAATTAGTGATAATTTCCTTTACCTACAGAGATGCAGAAATTTGACATATTTGGGTAGCCTTCAATTAAGATGAAAAGTACCATCCTTTCCCCAGTTGCTCTCCCACAAAGATTCTAACGTGGTATTGTGACTATCACCATTGCCGTCACTACACTCCCACAAGAATACTCAGTTTCTCAGCTAGGGCAGCAGTGTTTATGGGAAACTGTCCTCTCTCTATGCAATGTTCTATCATTCTTTAACTCTGTGTTTACAGCAGCATCTGCAGCTTCAGATCTCTTCAGATTATTATGAGAGAAAACAAAAGGCAACAGACAGCTCAGTGTAAAAGTTACATATGTGATTTGAAAACATCACAAGGTCAAAGGTTAATTTTTCCATTCTCAGAAGTTTCAATCAACTCACCTTGCAGCTGTTGAAGAAAATAAGGGCTGAATATTTTTGCCATAAAGTTGACTGGATGGCATTCGATAAGTGAACATGAATGGAGAAGTTTCAATAGTGTTTTGGGTGGAAAATAATTGCAATGAGCAAGTACCATATTTTCTAGTTTTCTAAATAAAGCAGAGGCATTTGGTGGCAAATAATTGAGTTTCCCAAATGGTTCTACCAACTCAGAAATTTGACTAGGTGAAAATTTTTCTGATTGGCAAAGAAAAGTTTCTGCCACTGCATCGAGGATGGGTATTGAAAGAATCAGTTTTCGACCACAGTATTCCATGACTTTGCTGACAACCTCAGGATCCAAGGTGAGACACAGAGAGGCCACGTGTTGCTCTAGGGCTTTTGTAAAAAACCTGTCATTGTGCCCAAAGTATATGAAAGCCTCTAAGACTTTTACGAGCTCTTCATTAGTGAAATGAGGGATATGCCTCACAACATATTTACCCAATTTTATAACCAGAGGAAGTGCCTGAGTTTGATCAAGAACCACTAGGGCAGTGAGCATTTGGCTTATCAATGTAGGACTCAGGTTGGAAACTATTGACAGAGAAAAGTTGTTTATCTTATTTAGAAACGTCTGGTGTTGGTCCACTTTTTCAGGACATGCCTGCAGTAGTCTATAAAGGGCCACAATACCCCCGGGGGTAAATTTTTCCAATTTTTCACCTTGCAGTTGACATATAACCAGTTCTAGTGCTGCACAACTTGGACCTTGCAGTTTAATGAGACTTTCCCCCAGAACACAAAGACTGTGAACTTCTAGGTCACCCCTTTGGAGACGACGCTGGCATTCTGCCAGCAGGTTCAGTAACAGGCTACTTTGGGGATCCACATACAACAGAGTCAGGGCCTGCAAAGCAGTCACCAAACCAGTGTTTGACAGATTTGAAGGTTCTTGTTCAAATTGAATGCATAAAGCTTGAAAGACACTATTCTCTAGTATTTCTTTTGGCAGCCTTTGATCGCCATCTTTTCTTTCCACTTCACAAATCCGTTTCAAGGCTCCTGCTGCCATCGTATCAGGCAAAGTTTGCAGTGTGCTTATAAAATGTAACAGTTCTTCTGATGAGGTGAAGTTGTTTAGTCTCCTGTAAAATATCTGTTCATCCACGTTTTTAAGATTTTGTTCAAGCCTGTCCCAATCATGTACTTGAGAGAATACCGGCTCACCAGTTGAATGAAGGTCATTTCCATTTTCTGAATGGAACTTTTTACAACAGGCATGATGGAACCTGACCCTGAAAGGCTCAAGTTGTAGGGAACAGAACCATGGACACAGATGCTCCTTGACGACCTTGTGAACATGATTTACAGGTTGATTTTTCAGAGCAGCCAGAGCTCCATGTATCCGAAAATCAGATAAATGACAAAGGTTCCTGCGCAAGGTAATTAAAGCCATGCCATCAGATTCTCGACTCCTCTTGATTTGTAACTAAAGAATAAAAAACATGGTCAAATATATTGAGAACATGACTCACTCAACAACATGAATCCTTATGAAACTAAGGATGAGTACCCAAACGAAGTGATTCATAAATATTTCCCACTAAAACATAAGCACCAGAAGAGCAGAGTCTGCCTCCTGGAGCTCAGAAACGGGGCCGGCATCTAACAATCATCATCAATATCATTTGTTAAGCAGTGTTGTGCTTTACCGTTTACTAACTTAATTAATGCTCCCAACGATACAATGAATTAAATACTCATATGGTCATTTTAAAGAAGAAGAAATTGAAGCACAAAGAAGTTATTTTGTCCAGTTTACACAGCTAGTAAGTGGCAGGGCTGGGATTCAATCTCAGGCAGTCTAGATCCTAAACACGCCTTCTATTGTTGGTTAATGGAAGGAATTGTGTTTGGTTAAATATACTCAAAAAGGGCAAAGGGTAAAGCGGCCAAAATTCGTACAGGTCGACGCAAAGTAAGAGTAAAAAACGCGCTTCAAGGGCGCTGAGATGTAGGTTTCCCCTCGGAGTTAGGGTGTGGCCAGGATTGAGAAAGAAACACTTCCAGTTTTGTAAACGCAAAAAAGAAGCAGGATTTTAAAAAAGTAAAACGAGGCGGGTCAATGAAGGGCGAAGGGCGGTGGCCACTCCAGACCAAACACCTCGCTTGGAATCCGCAGCATGAAGGCAGGACAGAGGGGACGGGGCGCCCCGGGGACCGCGACCTCCACGGAATGAAAGAACCCCACGGCCCCGGCGCTCAAGCACCCCGCGGGCGGGCCAGAGCAGCACGGGAGCCTCAGCGACGCCGCGGGACCATGCATCGCAGGCTAGGACAACCAAGCCCAAGACCGCGTGGACACCTACCGACCTCAACCCGCCGGAGCGCCAAGCAGCCGCGGAGGCAACGGAGCCTCGTGGGCCTCCGTACGCGCACACCGCGGCGGGGCCGAGGAGCCCAGCGCATGCGCAGGGATGGGAGGTCGCCCCCACGTCCGGCGCGCTGTGATTGGCGCAGCTCCCCTTCCCCGCTTCCTATTGGTCTCGGGCCCTGAGCGTGCGCGCCGCGACGGTGTGCGCAGCTGCGGGAGCAGTGCCCGCCGTGCCCACCCGCTCCTGGGGTGTCACCGGCCCGGCCCCCGAAGAAGAGGAAGCGGTGAGGGCTGTTCACCTGTGTGGGCCGCCCGCCCAGCACGGGCCCGAGGGGAGGCGGCGGAGGGCCGGCGAGGGCATCGGCCTCCGCGCCTGCCAGGGGCTGGGCGCGCGCGGGTCGGTCAGGAGCCCGGCGCCGCGGGCGGAGGGCGGGCTGCGCCGGGGACTCGGCCTGGGCCTCCCGCCGCCTCCCGGGAGCGGGTCCCGCCGTCCGCTGGCGTTTGCGCGGGCGGAGCTGGTCCCGCAGGTCGCTGTGGGCCCCTGCTCCGGGGGCGTCTTTGTTGCGAACGCTTTTCTAGACGGGGTACAGGGCACATCGGGGGCGCGGGGACACGGGGGTGTCGGGCAGGGGCGCTGGGAACGCGCGACTGTTCGGAGCGTGGACCCGGGCCGGACGGGGCGGGGGCGGGGGTCCTGCCCCACGGCTCCTCCGCCTGACCTTGGCCCTGCGGGTGCCGGGGAACCGCCTCTGAGAAACGTGGAGTACCTGTTTCATAAAGGTGGTTGTGGGCCTAAGGGGTTCGTGCTCTGGCGCACCTAGAGCCGTGCGTGGCTCCCAGGAGGTGATCCAGGTCGCTAACTATAATAAGAATAGGTGGTGGTCTTTCCGTCGTTACACTTGCACAGTTGTCGATGAGCCCTGAATGTGTGGTGTCTTCATGTTATTCATTTGTCCGTTCATTCAGTCAGCTAATTTATTGAGCATCTGTTATATGCCAGGCTCTAGTCTGTTCCCTAAGAATATTCCATGGTTCTTAACATGTTGTGTAACAAGGTTTTTTTTATCTTTTAGTTTCCTTGTGGCTTAATTTGTGTCTAGATAAAACTGGCCTGAGGAGCATAAAACTATTGGTAGTTTATTCACCAAAAGCCAAGAGTTTGATTTGAGTTTCAGTTTTAGTCTGTCACTACAAAGGGACGGTCTCCCGGTTTAGACACTGGATGAATATGGGAAAAAGTCTGTGAGTGTCCTTTATTTTTCTCCTGGTTTTCTCGTCAGGAAAGACATATTACTGGTAAAACACTTGAGTGGAGTGAAGATATTTTCTCTCTTTTTTTCTCTATGCATTTATAAGTATATGTATAAACACATGGGTTCGTATATATATTTCATGTTGAGTTAATGAAGCATAACATGTGCTCTGATTAACTTTAGTATTATGATTAGTTTATTTAGTGTAGAATCAAGAAGGAACCAAGAATCCTACAACTTTAATGGAATTTTTACTTTTATCTTTTTTTAAAATTTAATTTTATTTTTGCTGAGGAAGATTCACCCTGAGCCAACATCTGTTGCCAATCTTCCTCTTTTTTTGCTTGAGGAAGGTTAGCTCTGAGCTAACATCTGTGCCAGTCTTTCTCTATTTTGTTATGTGGTGGGGACCACCACAGCCTGGCTGACGAGTGGTGTGGGTCCAAGCCTGGGATCCAAACCTGAGAACCTCAGGCTGTTGAAGTGGAGCATGCCGACTTGATGACTACCCCACGAGGCTGGCCCCAAGTTTTACCTTTTTTAAAAGAGCAAACCAAAAGATGTCTAAGATTATTTTGAGCACAGCTGTGTCTTAATCATTGCTCAGGTGCCTTCATCTCTTAATCTTCATCAAGTGAGCATTATTAACCCCATTGTAAGGGTGAAGGAGTTGAGGCACAGATCAGCTGAGTAGCTTTCCTCAAGTTATGTAGTTGTGACTACATACAGAGTGACTGACCCTGAAATCAAGCCCAAGTAGTCTGACCCCAAAATCTGATTTCTGAACCATACAATTAGAGCTTCATTCCTGTATTCTCTCTGGTTTGATGAATTCTCTTTTAGATTTATTTAGAATTAATGCTAATGAACTTAAAGAAGTCTGTTTCATATTATGTGTGGCTATTGCAGTCTTTTTAAAAGATTATGAGGGAGAATTAATACTTGCAGGTTGTTACTACTTAATTAAGAAAATTCCCTCTTCTGTTTTCCAGTGTGACTGTGTACCTACAGCATCTGCCTTGAGGTGATGAGGAGGTTTTTGTTACTCTATGCTACACAGCGAGGACAGGCGAAGGCCATAGCAGAGGAAATATGTGAAAAGGCAGGTGCACATGGATTTTCTGCAGATCTTCACTGTATTAGTGAGTCAGATAAGGTGAGAGCTGTTACTCATGACTTTTACTCTCTTTTGTGCTTTGAAGTACTTTGGTTGGGAAGTGACATTTGTTAACAAAGTAGGATGCTAATTGCCACCGTAATCCGTTTTTTAAACACTCAGAAATGTATTTTATCAACTGCTATGAGATTCCTGCCAACTGTTTTTGCACATAAGTGTACATTTGAGTTAGACTAAACAGTCTCAGAAATTGAAACATGTAACTGCTCCTCAACCACAAATGGAAGTAGTAGTAGTTGCCTTGTTTATCTCAAGGGGGCTGGGGGTGGCTGTGAGGACAAATGAGATGTGTGTGTTCACATGCACGTGTGTGCTTTTCACCCCGTGGATCCCAGTGCCCCATTTGTTTTTCCCCAAATAAAGATCCTGCCGTTCATGTCAGTCACTTCAGGTGAGGGACCACATAATTCTTTTGTGAAAGAGAATGTAAAGAAGTGTGAGGATCTGGAGAAGACAGCTTCTTTAGGTCAGGGACTACTATTTTTTTTTTTTTTCCTATGTTCTGTCTTTGCAGAAGTGCCTACCTTAGGGTACATAAGGTCTTATCAGATCTATCTTCTCTCAGTTATTCTGATTGAGACCTCCAGATTATACTGTTTCGTACAATTCAGGCCATAGTAACTAGCAGGGACTTTTATACCGCAAGATGAGGTGTCAGCCATTAAGCAGTCAAATTCAGTTTAGTACTTCAAAAACTACTCTGCCTGTACACTCGCACTCAAGTTCACAACCTCCTCTAGTCTTTCTCACATCTTTGGTTCAGAAGACTAGATGTTGGCAGCACAGGTGAATTACAGACTCAGCTCATAGAAGGAGAACCACCTAGTTCCTTTATGCATCAGGGCCGAGGTGACTCAGTCACCCAGCAGGGAGCGTCCCGGAGGACGCCAATCTGGCAGCCTCCGTAATTCTACAGTAAATTTACTTCAAAGTAAATTTACATTGTGGGAGCCACGTGACGGAATACAGTCTGAATCTGTTCTACACACAAGAACAAAGTCATCAGCCTTATATCACTAGCCCTGATTTGGCCCTTTGGGGTCACCTCATCACCTAGGTCAGCAGCTATTGGAAAGGTAGGTGAGTAGATTTTTTTTTTTAGTGTCATGTGACTCATGTTTGCTCTCCCCAGCTGAATGATTTCTCCAGTTGTTGTTCCTAATCCAGTGTAAACAGTTTGGTATCCTAGATCGTGATAGCCCTTTGCAAGGTGAAGTTACTGTAACAAACTAGACAATTTAGTACACTACTTGTGTAATATCTTGTAAGCATTGAATCACCTGCTAAAATGTTAACTCAAATTCTTATCAAGTATATCAGCATGAAAAATAAAGTGAATTCCTTGGAGCCAAATTAGATGATATTCATGAGCAGTAGAGCTCATGGAGTCATTATAAATAGAGACAGTGAAGTGTTCTCTTTGAAATATTTAAATTTAGGTGAGAATTGGAAAGAAGAAACTTGATTTGTAAGACTTGGAAACAGTGATGATTTCAATTTACCCCTGACGATATTCTCAGCTCTCTGGATCCCTGAGGGAGTGAGGAGGTGGTCCTCATAGCTAGGTGCCCTGATGCCTGAGGAGAGCACTTCTGCTCTCCCAACTTGAAAATGCTCTGTGCACCTCTCTGCGGTTATGCCGTCTGTGTACAGGGAACTGGTTGAAGACAGGAAACTAAGCTATTGCCTTGCTACAGGTAGCAGTAGATCCCTGACGTGGCATCCTTGTTTTGTAGTATGATCTAAAAACCGAAACAGCGCCTCTCGTTGTTGTTGTTTCTACCACGGGGGACGGAGACCCACCCGACACAGCCCGAAAGTTTGTTAAAGAAATACAGGACAGGACACTGCCGGCTGATTTCTTTGCTCACCTGCGGTATGGATTATTGGGTATGGATGTATTTTGTGCTTTTACTGTACTCTGTGGTTACCGGCTTTAATTCTGGTATCTGAATGTATCTTTCAAAACTATGAGATAATCGTATGGCTTTTGTCCTTTTTGCTTCCTTATGTAAATATCTTATGTATGTATAATTTTTAAGTGTAAATAATGTGCTATGTTCTGTGACTGCTTCCCCAGTCTTCACCCCACAGCAGCACCTCTGCAGAACCCCCTGAGTAGCATTCCTAACCACGGGTGCACATCAAGTTCAACCGGGAAACATTCTCAGACTAGTAGTGACTGGGCCCCACCCCAAACCTCCTAAAACAGGGTTCCTTAAGGGGCAAGGGGCAACCCTGGGTGCTGTTTTATTTATTATTAGTTTATTTTAAAAAAAAAAAAAAGCTCCCAGGTGGATCTAATACCTTCTCCAGGGGAAAACCAGTCCACTAGGATGGTGGTTTTCAGTCCTGCCGCACACATTGGCCTCAGCTGGGGGAGTTTTCATTAAATTCCATTGCATGGGCCCACCTCCAGTTCGTCTGACTTAGTTGTTCTGAGGTAGGGCCCTGGTATCAGTATTTTTAAAAGCTCCTACGTGATTCTAGCATGTATCCCAGGTTAAACACTGGCCTAGGGCTCTGTGAATTATAGGTTAAAAAGATTAAAATAAAGGATCAGAAAGACCGGCTCAGCAAGATATGGCACTAGATATTCTCTTATGCAGGGTCCCTTTTCGTGGTTTGTGATCTGTATTCATCTTTGAGAATTATTTTATGGGGAGGGTATCTAGCAAGGATGGATTATGCTATGATAAATAACTGATTAGAAATTTGAGATTATGGCCCTGGCAACAATCTATCGTGTATAACATATTCAAGAGAGTATTTAGAGTTTTTACATTTTTTTAATTCAGGTTTTTCCAATTTATTTTTGAGTGAACATGTATGTATTGCTTTAAAAATTTCTCAAAAAACTTATTAAAAGGAAAGACTGAAGCCCATCCAGTTGTTCTAGTTGATCTTAGGCCCATATATGGATGCACCAATTGTTCACCTTATTCTTGTTGGGAAAATATGTGGAGATGATTAAACAGCTGAGAAATTTAAGCTTTTAATTTTAAATTTTCAACCAAGTATGAAAATGTTAATCCATTTTCTTACCAGGAAAGACAGAAGCAATTCTTAATTTATCCAACACAGAAACATAGCAAATGATGATTTATGTTGTAGATATGCCTGTCTGTGCTCTAGATTAGGGGTCAGTAAACTCTGTAAAGGACCAGGTGATAAAGATTTCAGGCTTTGCAGACCATGTGGTCTCAATATGAACTACTCAGCTCCACTGTTGTAGCCTGAAAGCTGCCATAACAATATGTGAACAAACGGACTTGGCTGTGTTTCAATAAAACTTTATTTATAAAGAAAGACAGTGGGTGGTATTTGGCCCACAGGCTATAGTTTGCAGATCCCCTGTACTAGATCAGAAAAGTCTGCAAGTACAGACTTTTATTTTTATATTATAAAATTATAATTTATATATTATATACAGACATATTTTTATAAAAAAATATGTATTTTTATAAACCTATCTAATCCTTGTTTTAAGATTTCCGTAGTTTTACACAGATTCATGGAAACAAAAATGTGAAATATATTTCTGTTAACAGTGGTCAAAAAATGTTTGTTTTGTTTCAGTATGTCTGGTACTTTTACATTGTAAAATTGAAGAAAATTATTTGCGTATTTAGTATTACTCAAAGAGAAAATAAGAAAATGTGAAGCTATACATTTTTTCTTACTCCATCAGTAAGAGCATGGAATGGTGTTGTTTTAAATATTTATCTGTTCTGCATATCTTTAAATTTAAACCTTATTCTGCACTGATAACCTGTTTGGGCTCTAGGTCTGGGTGACTCAGAATACACGTACTTCTGTAATGGGGGGAAGATGATTGATGCACGGCTCCAGGAGCTTGGTGCCCAGCGTTTCTGTGACACTGGCCATGCGGATGACTGCGTGGGGTAAGAGCGGCGCATGTCTCCTGTCCCTCCTTTCCCAGAAACCCTGGTCTGCACGTGATGAGAGTTAGCGCGTTTATGAAAGGGGTGGACTTTTGATCTAGCACGGAGACTTTCATCTTGAAAGTCGTATTTTAGTTTCATAAGCTTTTTTACATCTGGGACCCAAGATGATCAGCCAGAGCTTGATTCACCTATTTTGCTGAATTTTCTTTTTAAAATGCCTCGTTCTTCTCGGTATCTGTGAATGGAAGAAATTAGAAAAGGTCCCCCAGTACTGTTAGCTTTATCTTTTTTTCTTTTCTTTTTTTTTTTTTTGTGAGGAAGATCAGCCCTGAGCTAACATCCATGCTAATCCTCCTCTTTTTGCTGAGGAAGACCGGCTCTGAGCTAACATCTCCCCCTTTTCTTTTCCCCCTCAAAGCCCCAGTAGATAGTTGTATGTCATGGTTGCACATCCTTCTAGTTGCTGTATGTGGGATTCGGCCTGAGCATGGCGGGAGAAGCGATGCGTCAGTGTGAGCCCGGGATCCGAATCCCGGGCCGCCAGTAGCGGAGCACGAGCACTTAACCGCTAAGCCACGGGTCTGGCCCCAGTTAGCTTTATCTTAAAGCATGTAGGTATTTGTAAAAGTCAACATTTTCTTGAGAAAGTTTGCTAGTGTGCATGTGTGCTTCTCTCTGCCATGCGTGTAGGTGTTTGTACAAATCAGCATTTCCTTGAGGATGTTTGATAGTGTGCGTGTGTGCTTCTCTCTGCTGTGCACACTGGAGTGACTGGTCGTGGGTCCTCTCACATGGGGGCCACCCAGTGGGCCACTGTCACTGATAGAGAACACAGGTCAGAGGCCTTCACAGCATCCTGAGTTCCTTGGCTCTCTCTCCCATACATCTTAATGGACATTTGCCACCATGTCAACCAGAAATATAATTTCTATTTCCGTTACTTTTATTTATTCTTGTTCGTAAATTCATTGTTTCACCCTATGCGCCACTTTTAAAATCCTCTTCATGTGTTTATTCAAAGATCTTATAGCTATTGTCCTCCAACTTATTCTGTCAGTTAGCCTTTAACTATTTTAGCCAGATAACAGCACATGATTTTGATTTTTTTTCCTCCCAGGTGCATGCTTTAAATAAATTCACACTCACTAGGTCTGTGTTTACGAATAATGGGAAATTCAGCATTTGATGAATGCTGTTGTCTGCTTTTCTCTGTATTACCACCTTGCGTGAGTGTGTTGGAGGCACTTCTCTTTCCCTTCCCTTCACTTAACTCACCCTTCTCATCCACTCTGTCCGTCATTTTCTGCAGCTGCGATGCTGTGGATTTTTCCATCTCCCCAGTGTGCGTGTTCTTGACAGTGACAAAGCTCTACCACATTTTATTGCATCCTGGCTTTTAGTTTTGTCCCTTTATATTGGGATTTTTTTTCCCTGAACTTTGTTGGTATTAAATATTTTTTGTCCTACAGGAGCTATTTAATTGCTAACTCCTTATGTAATCCATTAGGCCTGTCACAGTCCGTATTTTACTTCTCTTCAAAGGCTTTCAGTTGCCCTGTTTGTTTATTGGATCAAGTGTTAAGAATCGAATGTGTATTTCAGCAGCCTGCATCTCTTAAATTGTCAACCTAACTACCTTACTTGAATTTTCCCTTTTCTAAAAATAAAATATGTTCAAGAAGACGTCCTGGCTTAATGTACCGACCACCACATTGAAGGGGTTAAGGATGGAGACCCGAGTTCAAACACCTGGGTTCAAATCCTTGATTCCCCCACTTGCTGACTGTGAAACCTTGGTCAGATCATGTAAACCTTTTATGCCTCGGTTTCTCCCTCCATGAAAAAGATAATAATAGTATGTATTGTGCAAGGTTCTTGGGAAGATCAAATAATACACATTGTCCTCTTAGAACAATGCCTGCCATATAGTAAACACTCAGTGAACATTAGCTCTCTCTCTGATTATGAGTATTTTTATCTTAATATCTCTGAGTTGTGGGAATGGTGTTTTAAATGTAGCTGTCGTTATTGGACCCATAATTTTATATATTTTTCCAAAGGCTCCTGAGGGATAGGTGTACTGTATAACCAAATTTTGAGCTATGTACTATGTGAGCACCTAATGAATACAGTGAAATGATAGCCAGAGTCATAAGAAGACAGGTCTAAAATGTGTTTCCTCTTAATTGTCAGTTAGCTTTATGAATTGGAATGCAATTGATACCTCCTTTGAGTTGTGATTAAAAATGATCAAGATGTTATTTCCAAGGTCCTGACGCAGTCTTTCGTATCCATTCTGGGAATGTAGGAATGGTCTTGTTGAGTTATCCTACTTTGTTAGCAGTAAATAGACTGCCACATTTTAAAATGTATTAATGATTAATTCAGATTTCCTGAAAGATGATTTTTTTTGTTCCCCCTGTGGTCAGCCTTCTTGGGAAGTTTACCAAAAAAAGTGTTCGCAACTGATAAAAGGTTTGAACGATTTACTTAGTCAAAAGGTTAGCATTAATCCAGAGTTATTTCTTAGTGTTATTTTAATCTATAGGAAAAAAAGACCAGTAAATTAGCTAGGCAAAATGATGGTGCATTCAGTTGATATAATTATCATTTGTGATGTTAGAGTAAGCTTGGATTTTGGGTAAGTTCTGTTAGCCTCATCAGAATTTAGAATTTAAAATCATAACTTCTTAAAGATTACTATTTCTATTTTAGGAAATTAAGAGGAATCACATACCTATTACCTGTTACTAAAATATCTTCATTTCTGTTCTCTGACCTTTATACGTGCTCATATTTTTTACACCTCAGTGCTAATGAACACGTTATGTTCTGTTTTTTAACTTAATTGTTCATAAGTATTTTTTGTATCCTGAATAGTCATCATGTTTAGTATTTTTGACATTTGCATAGCATTTTGCCAAATGGATAGACTGCGGTTATGCCGTTATTATGTATTTAAATGGAGAACTTAGACATTTGTTTCTTTTTTCTTTTTTTATTACAACAATCCAGTTTAGAACTTGTGGTTGAGCCATGGATTGATGGACTCTGGGCTGCCCTCACGAAGCATTTTATGTCAAGTAGAGGAAAAGAAGAGATGAATGGAGCTCTCACAACGGCGTCTAAGGCCTTCTGGAGGACAGACCCTCTGAAACCAGAATTGTTACATATCGAATCACAAGTTGAACTTCTGAGATTAGATGATTCAGGAAGAAAGAATTCTGGGGTTTTGGAACACAATGCAGTGAATGGAGGTCACTCGACTGCTTTGATTGCAGACTATGAGCCCTCACTTACCCGTTCAGTGCCTCCACTTTCCCAGGCCTCCCTGAATATTCCTGCTTTACCACCGGAGTATTTACAGGTGTGTCTGCGGGAGTCTCTTGGCCAGGTAAGCAGTTTCAGTCTATGCTTCGTGCTGTATATTATCTTACATGGGTAGTTTGTTTGTTTGTTTTTTTATTACATTACAACAGGGGTCAATAGACCTTGGCCTATTGGCCAAATGCGGTCCACCACCTCTCTTTAGTAAATAAAGTTTTATTGGAACACAGCCATGCCTGTCCAGTCACATGTTGTCTGTGCCTGCTTCGGTGCTACAGTTGCAGAGTTGAATAGTTACTACAGCGGCCTGCCCCCCTGCATTACAGAAGTGCCTGTGTTACTACATTACGTCTGTCTTTGAAGAAGTATGTAGTTAAGAGCTCAGTTTCTCCATTATTTTGGAGAATTAACTTCTTGGTTTCTCTTTTTAGATGTGAGTGAGTCCAGGGCAAGTTGTTGTGGGCAGTCATGAAATTGTCTTAGCACCTAAACTTAAAGGACTCCTTTGCAGTAAAACCTCTTGTCCAGTGTGGATTTTTGGAATCTTGGAAAGCTGTCCTTTAGAGATTACTCTTTTTCTTGATAATATCTCATAGACCTGTTTTTGTCTATATTAAGTCTTTTTTTTTTTTTTTTTGGCCTGGAGTATTTTTCCTGTCAATAAATAAATGACTTTAAAGTGGTCTGTAAATTTTTGAGCATCAAGTTGAATAATAACTAATTTCTTCCCATGACTGCCAGTATTTGGTACCTGAAATTTCTTCCAGCGTCCTTAGAGTAAATTTCCAGTGTAGCCAAGCCCTCTTTCTTTAGAGTGGCTGATTGGAGTTCCATGTGGGCTTGCTTACATAAACCACACCCTCAGTGCAGGGATCATGATTTCTAGTTTCTTGTTTTCTTATTTATTTATTTTTTTTTGGTAAGGAAGATTAGCCCTGAGCTAACATCTGTTGCCAATCTTCCTCTTTTTGCTGAGGAAGATTGGCCCTGGGCTAATGTTCGTGCCCATCTTCCTCCACTTTATATGTGGGCCGCCTGCCACAGCATGGCTTGATGAGTGGTGCATCAGTCCGTGCCAGGATCCAAACCTGTGAACCCTGAGCTGCTGAAGCGGAGCATGTGAACTTAACCACTACACCGCCAGTCTGGCTCTTTGTTTTCTTATTTTTAATGAAAAAAGACAGACATTTGGGAAACAATTTAAGTACAGTTTTCTGTATATTAGAACTGTTTGCAAATACCTGATATGTTAGCAGTTTTCTAGCATATTTTTATAGTGTCTTTCTAAAGCATTCAGATAAACAAGTATGTTTTTATGTAAACAACTATGGGTTATTGTTCCTGCAGTTACACTTCATTATTCTGTGAATTGTTTGTGAGATAATTACAGTAAGTACATTTTAGTCAGGTTTGGGAACAGACACAGTAACTCTAGTAAACATGGGCTTGACTCGTGGGAGCAGAGTGCAGACACGGTAGAGCCCCTGTCTGCACACTGCGAGGGTGGATGCATGCGGCAGAGGGCACAGTGAGCACTGATTGCTCTGACAAGGGGCTTCAGTTAGGAGGAGGATCTGCTAAGAGTTTCTTTCATGGTGGGTGTCGTTAATAGGCTTGAGTTGTTGGTAATGTGGTTAAAAGGTTTTTAAAATCTCAGCCATTTAAGGGAGACTCGTATAAATCTGCTGAAGGGATATACTTAGAGGTCAGGGGATTGGAAAAGATTTTTATTTAGGTGTCCTCTTGGGATCATCACCTTGGGGAACTGGGGGAGTAGGTGGAAGCAGGATTGGGCAGAGTGGGCAGCTGAGCTTCGATGCCAAGACCTGGACCAGTCACACTCCACACAGCGTCTTTTCCCCGTCACTGATGTCTGCACTGCTTTGGGGTCTCTGGATTGTCTGGTACAAGGCCTCTTATTGGCACCATTGCTTGGATCTGCTACAGAGCCCTTTCCTGCTCTGGGCCCCACTCAGAATTGGCCACCTTTCATGTCACCTGATATTTGGTTGGAGCAGTAGTCCCAGTTATGGATATGCTGCCCCACATTCTGAAGAGGCTTACCGGGTGTTGTCTTCCTCTAGAAGTGAGGTACAAGATGCAGTAGTGCATTCTTTACTGGGGAAGGGTGTCCTGACATGTCCCAGACTATTGGACTCCTGAAAATTGTACTTACAGTACTGGCCCTTCAGTCTGCGTAGGGCATGAGGTCTCTCCCAAAGACTCCAACATACTAGCCACTTGTTGCTCATTCAGTCAGATTAGCATAACGTCGTTGATATTGTGGACTAGTGTGATGTTTTGCTGAATATCCAGATGTTCCATGTTTGTTTAGACTGTCTTACAACAGCAGGCAGGAGCATTTTCACAGTCTTGGGGCAAAATTACAAATGTATATACCATTGACTGCTCCCAGTGGAAGTGAAGGTGTCTGGTTCTCTTTAGGGATAGAGATGGCAAAGAGCAGATGGGCTAAATCGCTGTCCCCATGCCATGTGCTTGCAGCCATGTTAATCTGCTCTCAAAGGAAACCATCCAGTGTGGAGGCCACAGTGGGGCTGCTGCTTGTTTGTGTTTGTGGTGGTTCAGTGTCTTCCCCCAGGATCCATCTCGTTTCTGCAGGGGCCGAACTGGTGAATTAGATGGAGATATGGTGGAGACCATCCCTGTATCCCTTAGATTTTTAATGATAGTATTGATACTTGTCGTTCCTCCCAGGATGCTGTATTGTTTTTCATTTTCTATCTTGGTCAAGGGAGAGGACAGTGTCAAATTCAGAGGCTTCCTCTTGGCCTTCCTCACTATGACAGCTCTTACCCCACAGGCCAATAATCCATTGTGGGGTTGTGCCAACTACCAAGGGACCATGGGAGGGTCCAGGACCCACTGGACCCATTGAGCCAGACTTGGGCCAGGGCTTCATTTACTGCCTGGCCCCATAGGCCTCACTGTAATACATGGGCCCAGTGACACTTTGGGTTCCTGGGTAACAGCATCATCTTGGACCCCCTTCTAGCAGTTCCTGAAATATTTGGGTATTCTTCTTGGCCCAGTGTACATTTGCCCCTTGGGAGAAGGACTGCGGGAAGCATTCTTGAGTACAGTTCCTGTGGTGTTGCAGGGGCCCTCCTCCTGGGGGCCTATCCTCTCCTCAAGTCAGTGGGCTCCAGGTCTCGAAAGTGGCTCAGGTCCAGAAACTGGGCAAGGGATCCTGAGTTTTCACTGGGGCAGCTGCCCGCAGCTTCCTGCTCATGGCTTCTTGATTTCTTTTCATTATGAGGATTGATCCAGTGCCCATGAGGCTGCCTCTTTATTTTAACCCTGGCGACGCCATGTTCTCAACCATGCCCACTAATTCTGAGAGTCAGGCATCTGGCAGCCCAGCCCCTCCGGCCTTTCTACGACTACGATGATTGTGCCCGCTGGCTTTATTTAGGTGTTCTAGCCTGTACCCTCCTCCCTCTGTTCTTTGGGGGCCCAGGCTTTCCTGTTGCTGTTCGCTCTGGCCAGCAGGGAGGCCAGTGGAACTTCTCAGCGATGTCGGTGCCTCTCTCACCAGCACAGTCCTGTTGGCCTGGCAGTGGTGTGTGCTCTGGGTCTCCAGGAACATCGCCATCTCCCAGGTTTTGGCTCTGCATAGTTTTATCCACTCTACTGGGCCACTTCTCTGAGTCTTTTAATCCTGTCTTCAAATGCTGGCGGTAGAAGTCTTGGCAGTTCTACTTCACTTAGTGCAGGCTCTCAGTTCTTCCTTGCTCTGGTAGCCACGCTGTCAGCATATTCACATCATCTTGAGGGGTTCTTGCCAGGGTTTTAAAGCCTGTGTCCTGGGAGAGTGTGTCCCAATTAGAAAAGACTCCTTTATCCAAATTTATGGTCTGCCCTCCTTGGCCCAGGACCTGAGCATTCTGTGTTGTGCATTCTCTGCTGGCTCTGCTGGTGTCTGTTGCTGTGTCCTGCACTTTCTTCAGAGTGTAGTCCTTTGTCTGCCTTTGCTGGCCCAGCACCTCTGCGGCCTGGTATGTTGCAACTTCACCCTAGTTATTGGCCCAGCAGCCAGGAGAGGAGATGGGGTGCAGGGGTCGGGGCGTGAGCATGTCTTGCAGGGCAGAGGTCCCTGCATTGTCTTAATGCAAGAGGGAATTCTTGCTTTTAACAGGAAGGCATGGCCACTTCTGCAGACTCAAAGGCTTCAAGGAAATCTAGGGATTCAAGATTTTTCAACCCACTTGTCCCTCTCCCAGCCGTCAGGAGTCCATTCTTTCCCTCTCAGAGTTGGTCCATAGCTTTCTCTGCCCTCAGGCAGCAGGAAATGAGTGCTTCCCTGTATACTACTGAGGATGTCCTCTGGCTTTCACGCTTAATTTTTAACTGTTGACTAATTTTTCTTAGCTTTTTACACTTTTTTCAAAAGTGTCAATGAAGCTTAGCAACATCCGCCCCGTTCTGTGGGCCTCATCAGTACTGTTTCCTCATAGTTCTCGAGCACCTGATTCATCACACCAGCTACTGCATTCTCTCCTACTGGTATAGCCTCCCACTTAGCTGTTCACTGCTGCCTTGTGCTGTCTGTTTTCCATCTGTCACCAGTGTGGTGTTCTCATTGCCGGCCAGGTATGGAACATTCCCATCATCCAGAAAGCTCTCTTGAACAGCACCGTGTGCCACTCTGCGAGTTCTTGTGATTATTTATACAGACACCTTCCAATCTTAAACATCTGTCATTTCCTTTAGAATCTCCTCCCTGAAGTATGCATGCATACTATTGCCTTTTGCACAGTTTATTAGGAAGACTATTAGACCTTTACACGAAAATGCTAGTATTTGGTATTTTCATTATATATCTTAGAAATCCTAATGTCCAGTAGACAAGAATTTTAAAATATGGATTAACTTCTTTTCTGAAAGATTGAGAGGCATCTCTCTGTAGCCATTTACCTTAGAAAAGAATATTTAAATGGACAGTAAGTTTCATGAGATCCTACAAATCTTACCTAGTCACTAAGGGAGGCAATGGTAAGTATAATTGAAAATTGCATGTAGTAATATTTTGTCCCATTTGTTTCTCAAGGAGGAAAGCCAGGCATCTGTGACTTCAGTGGATCAAGTTTTTCAAGTTCCAATTTCAGAGGCAGTTCAACTGACTACGAATGATGCCATAAAAACCACTCTTCTGGTCGAATTGGACATTTCAGTAGGTTACAAGATTTATTTCTCAGCACAGTTATGTTGTCAAGAAGTACAGAGACTTGTGTGGTGTTCTAGCCTGTACACTCAGGAAGAAAGAGAGTCTCTGACAGGACATCTGGGCTTTTCTTCTGGACCCATCATCTTTTCTTCCCACCTCACACCTGTTTTCTTTCCACTTCAGGGAGGGGCTAAGATGAGGAGTGACTGGAGGTGATCCAGCTTGAGAGAACAGTGTTGCTGCCTTACTCATTAAGCCAACAAAGGATGACAGAATCAGAAAAGCATTTTCTTTCTTTTTTTTTTTTGTGTGTGGAAGATTAGCCCTGAGCTAACATCTGATGCCACTCCTCCTCTTTTTGCTGAGGAAGATTGGCCCTGAGCTAACATCTGTGCCCATCTTCCTCTACTTTATATGGGAGGCCGCCACAGCACGGCTTCACAAGCAGTGTGTTGGTACGCACCCAGGATCCGAACCTGTGAACCCCGGGCCGCCAAGCGGAGTGCGTGCACTTAACCACTACACCACTGGGCCGGCCCCAGAAAAGCATATTCTTATAAGAAGAGTCCTGGGGAAGGAAGCTGTTTACCTGAGGGCAGCCAGCTAGTTGGAAATAGAGCTCAGACTAGAGTCACATAATGGTTCATTTCTCAGAGTGGTGGTTCTCATTACTTTGAGGATCTGGAAAAAGTCACATCCCCCTCTCCAGAGACATGATTATATACAGACATTTTGCATACAGTTTCAGGAGGGTTATGTACTACATCTCTGAACTCCATCCATAAGCCCCTCCCCCACCCCACCCCCTACCCACATCCATTGACCTCAGGTTAAGAAACTGATTGATAATCCTCAAACTTCGGTGCTGAAGTACCACTTCATAGTCATATAGCTCAACCCTTTATTTTGGTGAAGGTCCTGAGAAGGTAAGTGGGTTGTGCTTTCAGAAGAGTGCACATCAAGGTTGTCTATGTGGATTTAAACTTCTAATAGGAAAAAATGTGACAGGCGTCAAAACTAGATGGTTTTGTTTACAGACTATTGAGTAGTTCTGTATTTCTTTTGAATATATTACTCCATATTGTTAAATATTCTGTGTACACCAAAACATTTTATTTTTTATTCTGCTGTTCTACACTTTTGTCATAAAGTGGCAAGGGTTGGCCGATTGGTGGCTCCAGTCTGCCTCCCTCACAGACTGGGAATGTGAGTGTGTGTGGTCAGAGGCCCCTTTCCAGAACCCTGGGCTGTATTCTGCATCCCTCTGTAAATAGACTTGCTGTGGGAAGTGGCTCCTTCTCCAGCCCGTGTTTGTTCTCAAGCCAGATGACATAACGTTTTATGTTCATTAAGGAAAATGTAAAGTGTCCTCTCTCACCCGTATTCCTCTCCAAGAGAAAGAAGAAAGAAATTGAAAACCAATGCAGACAGCCTTAAGTAGTTTCTTTTTCTCATAATGTGTATGTGCCTGTGTGTGTATCTTTTCATAAGAGGGATTTTTACATGGATCATTAAAACACTACTTACAGAGGTCCCTTACTCTGTAGAAAATGAGGAAGATCTTACTTTCCATTCTATAAGTGCTCAGTGATACAGAGCAAAACATTGGATAACTATATAATTTCTTTTTTAAAATAACTCCTAATAAAAAGTATGTTCAGTTTGTTGAGCTTATTTGTTTTTTTTTTTTTGCAACTAGAATCGTTTTGTTTCTAATTCAAGTATTAAAATGGTCATATAATAAAAACGATGTTTTTGTTACCCCACAGCTAAAAGTCTAGCTCATATGGATTTTTTTCGTTCATGTTCGTTCTTCTCTAGAAAACGGAGTTTTCCTATCAGCCTGGTGATGCCTTCAACGTGATCTGTCCCAACAGTGATTCTGAGGTACAAAACCTCCTGCAAAGACTGCAGCTCGCAGACCGAAGAGAACACTGTGTCCTCTTGAAAATTAAGGCAGACACAAAGAAGAAAGGTACAGCCCTGATCTGCTACTTTTGAGGGTGTCATTGGGCCAATGGATCAGAGGTGACAAACGTGAGTGTCCCCCTCCCCATTCAAGGCCCTGTGTGGTGGCTGCACGGATGCCTGTGGGTGGGCGGAACACAGGCACTCACCAGTCTTGCTGGTTTCTTAACTTCCACATCAGTTAGATTGAATGAGATGATGGATTTCGTGCTTGTTGGACGCTTAATGGACATTAAAAGTGAATGTAACTGTAGTCTTGGAGAAGCAGGTTGGTTAGTTGGACTGGTTTGTTAGTTTGCTATTTGTAGTTAGCATTATTTTGTTTGTAAGTTCACATATTAAAATAGCCACGCAGGGGCCGGCCCGATGGCTTAGTGGTTAAGTTCAAGAGTTCTGCTTCAGTGTCCTGGGGTTCGCCAGTTCAGATCCTGGGCGCGGACCTACTCACCACTCATCAAGCCATGCTGAGGAGGTGTCCCACATAGAAGAACTAGAAGGACTTACAGCTAGGATATACAACTATATACTGGGGTTTTGAGGAAAAGAAAAAAAAAAAGGTCATGCAATAAAAACTTTTTTATTATATGAACCTTTTTAGAAAGTTGTTTTCCTGTTATGTTTATTTCCCATAGCATATTTATTATTGCTTATGATATTAAAAAAAAATTGGTTTTTCCGTAATTAAAGGAAGTCATTTTTTTAGTTATTTGCTTAGAATCTTGAACTAGAGTTCAGTCAGTTCTAAAATTCTTTCTGAGAATAATATGTAATTTTAGTGGACCACTGCCATCTTTTGGCTTTTTGTTCCTCGGTTTTGGATAATTTTCCTTTCTTTTGTTTGCCATGCCTAAATCTGATAGATATGGCTAATATTATAATGCTATCGAGTTTGTAATTATTTTTTTTGTAAGGTGGATTTTTCTGCTGTATTCATTTTGGGGAAATGTTTTTTACTGAGTAAACATGGCCACAAATCATATTACGCTTTGATAGCACTATAATGTGAAGTTTTACAGTTATTGCGTTTTTAGGAATGCTGCAAAAGATTTTATTCTTTATCTTCTGTGTCATGAACTCCTTCCTGTCTGTCTGAAAAGGAGCATCCTTGCCTCAGCATATACCTGAGAGATGTTCTCTCCAGTTCATTCTTACCTGGTGCCTAGAAATACGAGCAATTCCTAAAAAGGTATTTTTCTTTCTTCTTTGGGTAACCATTTAAAAATATACTTAGCTCTGTGTAGTTTTTATTAAATTTGGTATTTGCCCTCTGAAACAGGCTTAGAAAATATGATCTTCACAGCATGTTTTCAAAATAGTTCCCAAGAGTGTGTAGTATCCTTATAATTGTCACAGACAAATATTTTTATGTTGTGCTTATATTGAATTTTGTTTTCTATTGAAATGAGATTTTAAAAGTAGGGCTTTTTCTTAGTCTTGCTTGTACTAGATATTCACTTGATGGAGCTCATTAATCAGTGATGACGGTGACCTAGATGACCCTGTGTTTATCCAACTGCACAGTGAAACTTTCTCTCTCTGATTGGTGACAGGAAGCTCTGAGAGTGTAGCATTCCCCTCTACTGCCACCCAGTTACTGTTGTTAAGATCCCTGTTGTGAAAAAATCTGTAATTACTTATTGTTAAGTCGCATTCTTCAGGTAAAGTTAAAGGGTTTTGGTGGATTATATTGATGTTTAGGTGAGTTTGGAGATAGAATAATCCACGAGGTGTCAGTATTATTCCAGGAACTACTGATTCTTCTTAGTCCCTCAAATGGATAATAGTGGATAAACTTTCCGGGCTGGGCTTTGCCCAACTTGAGCTGACAAAGAGCATGAATAGTGCTGTTATTCGGCCACCCTCTCTGCACTGCAGTTTTTATTAATGTGTTTATTACATCTGTAATCTTTGGGAAGCAAACTACTTTAGAGAGAGGCTCAGCCGTAGATAGGCTTTGAGTAAATTTAGAATTCACTGTGATGAGGACTTATTGATTAAATTCAATAAATTCACAATTTTAGTTCAACTCTAGCATTTAAAATAATCTTTTAAAATATATATACATGTATTTTCTTACTACAGTATTATGTAATATGGTCATTGTAAAAATTCTGGGCACAAAAATAAGTAACTCAGGAAGCAAGAGTCCTTTATAATAAAACCCTCGGAGTTAACACTTGAATTTTGTTTTCCTAAGAAAAAATAAGATTCTGTAGTATAGATGCTGTTCTGTAACTTGCCTTTTTTATTTAAAAAGAAATCAAGAGTTTGTATATGCCAACATGGAAAGATATTGGAGATGTTTTTAACAGATGCCATGGGCACACTATAATTAAATTATTGATTTAATCATTGATGATTGAGTTTCCAGTTTTTTACTATTAAAAACATATATCTAGGTAAACATTCTTGTACTATATGGATCTTTGCATACTTGTTTGAAGTACTTTTTAAAAATGAGTTCTTTAGAGTAGAATTGCTATTTTAAAAATATTTACGGGGGCCGGCCCAGTGGTGTAGCGGTTAAGTTTGTGTGCTCTGCTTTGGCGGCCCGGGGTTCGCAGGTTCGGATCCCGGGTGTGGACCTCCGCACCACTTACCAAGCCATGCTGTGGCAGGCGTCCCACATATAAAGTAGAGGAAGATGGGCATGGATATTAGCTCAGGGCCAATCTTCCTCAGTAAAAAGATGAGGATTGGCAACAGGTGTTAGCTCAGGGCTGATCTTTCTCACAAAAAAATATATATATATATTTGCAGTTTAAATTTTAGTAGTGTTTGTCAGCTTGTTCTCTACAGACAGTACAGTATTTCCTACTTTAGTACTGTAAAGTTTCTGTAATTCTAAAGTGAAAAATATTTTAAAGGATTTATGATTGGCACTGTTATAGCCTGTAATTTAGGAAATTTTATGGACTTGAGAATTTATGGTGGAAAGTGTTACTGGTAAACTCTTATCTTACCAGAGATCCAGGCAGGGACCTCGGGTGTCATTCATTCCACAGCGTGTCCCGAGTGCTGTACTGTGTTGGGCACTGTATCAGGCCCTTCAGTTTGTTAGTCTCTGGGTCGTGTAGGCAGAGATTCTTAGCTCAGCCAGTGGAGACCTGTGATCCCCCCACGAGAACAGCAATGGCGTCTCTGCATGACAGGACGGCGCTTGACCGTGGAATACCAAGTAGCAGTACCAGTAGCACTGCAGATAGCATTTGACGCAGATAACTTGCTGAAGTACTTTGTACCTGAAGAATCCTCGAGTAATAAAAGATATATATGTCATGTGATTGATAAGCTTAGAATTGCGTTGAAACCAAAAATTGTAATTAGCAAGTTTGGTCTGTTGTCCAAGAGTTTAGACTTGGTTCCGTCTTTGAGACTTTGGATTCAGGCCTTTGTTTAACTTTATTTGTTCATATTCTCCTCATTCCACAATAAATCTGAGGTGATTAAGAGTCCACGTGTAGGAGAGTTCTTGCTGTTCTGGCCCTCACTGTCTCTTCAGCCTTCTGTCCCATGTCCACACTTCCCTGGATCCATACTGAACTGCACGTGGTCCCCAAGAGCACTATGCATTTGCCCGCCTCCTGTGCCTTCATGTAGATGTGCCATCTGTTAGCTGTTCTTCACTTCCCTCGTTTCATGTGGCCAGCCTTCAACCCAGCCTGTGTCCTGGCAAGCCCTCACATCCTGTGAGTGCCCCTCTTGGGGCTGTTAGCCTGTTGCACACTGATTACTCCTTGACTTCTGTTGCTCTCAGCAGCCTGTGAACCCTTACTGGCAGGGTAGGTGTCATCTTGTCCCCAATGCCTCACCACCCAGTGCCTGTCCCTTAAAGAGCACTTAATGATTGTCAAGTAGATGTTGAAGTCTAGGTTGTCACCATCAGCTAAGAAAAGATCCAGTGTTGTGTCCAGAGATGAAGTGTTGAGTTATGAGACTTTCTGATTATTCTCACTCAGATATACCTGACATGTCTTTTTTGCTCATACTTGTGACTGATTAGGTCAGTTTAGAACATAGGAGAGGTGACTAAAAACAATGTAAAAGTGTTTTCCCTAACCAGTTGACATTAAAGCAAGTAGCAAATTAAATTCTCTTTTCCGGACCACGCTCCTAGTGTCTCTCTCACCTTTTCTTGAATAATTGGACACATCCCCAGGTAGATACTAACTGAATATTCTAACAGCCGTAACCACAGAGCGTGTGGGAATTTAACTCTGCTTCCTTTGCTGTGGCCGCAGGCATTTCTGCGAGCCCTGGTGGACTGCACCAGCGATGGTGCGGAAAGGCGAAGGCTGCGAGAGCTGTGCAGTCGACAAGGAGCGGCCGACTATAACCGTTTTGTGCGAGATGCCTGTGCCAGCCTGTTAGACCTCCTCCTGGCTTTCCCGTCCTGCCAGCCCCCGCTCGGTCTCCTGCTCGGTGAGTGAGCTCCCGGACACCTGAGTTCCAAGGTGCTGGACAAAGGCTGCCCCCGTGTCACCCTTTGAATTCTGTGCAGGCATTTGGGGATGTGTTTAAATGAACTGTGGTCAATAAGTAACCATCTTGCAATTTGTCTTCAGGGTGCCTTGGCATCTGAACTGCCTTCTAGAAGTCAGAAGGAATCCCTCTTCCAAGTTTTTTTATTTCCTTATTTTTTTCTTCTACCACTGCCACTATCATTTTCTCTCTTAATATAGCCAGTCTTAATTCTCTTTTTTTTGCTCAGCATTCAACATCTTTTCTATTAATTTTACTATTTTTAAAAAAGCATTTAGCCAAATTTTATCTAAAAATGAGCTTTCCAGGGGGGAAAAAAAACAATCTTTTCCAAAGATAATGAACATCGTATTTAATTGACGGAGGTTGATGAAGCGTGCACTCTGTGTGCAGTATACAGAAATGCCCCCGTTTGGGCGGGTCCAAGTTGAGGGTTCTTCAGAAGCAAAAGGCGCCTCCTCATGTTGTCCCAGCACAAGAGGCCTTACTCAGGGTGCTTCCAGGCGTTCAGCTTGGGGAGACACGTCACCAAATATTCAAATGTTAGTTCATCCTGTTTTTCGTCCGCATCGTCTCTTGGGGTCCTCATACTCCCGCAGGAGAGAGGTCAAGATCCTCAGGAGGGGCTTTCAGTGGCAGTCACAGTAAGGCGTGGGAGACCTTTACTAGGGACAATGACTATAAGGATTTTATAGGGTTTTTAAACCTTTGCTACTTTACTGTGCTTGTTATTTTGTCATGTCCTCTCTGTTTTCCTGTAGTGATAAGTAGTAAAGGCCTTAAAATTTGCATTTGTCTTGGGTGACGGGAAAATGTGTATGGGCTTTCTACTGTTCGGCCAACAAGGCCTCTCTGGCTGCCCACTCAGGTAGGGGCGCTCTCCTTTGCAGGTCAGGGCCTGCTTCCTTTCCTCTTTATTTCTTAGTGCTCTGCTCTTTGCTTCTCCTCACAGGGAGACAATTGTCACTAAGTGAGGCTGCCCTTCCTGCTTTCCTGTGTCCACACGAACACTCCTGCTCTGCTCAGCTGCGTCTGTCAGAGCTAATGGAGGGCTTGGGATGGCAATCAGAGCGCGTCCAGGGAAGTTCTCAGCAAGCTTATAAAGTTCTCCTTCACAGAAAAATAGGTTTCAGTTCTTTTAACGAATTTTCTGTTACCTTTTGTAACTTTATTTATATATCACTTATTACATAGTTATGTAAAAAAATAAAGGCATTGAGACTTAGAAAAATTTTAGTTATTTTCTGATTTCTTTAAGAAAACAGTGTATCTAAAGCTTAGTATTAAGTTGAGCTCTCTATTAAACCTTATTCTGACATTTATTATAACTTAAAGCCATTTTAGAAAGGTCTTTCCAAACTTTTGCTAAATACCTATTAAAAATATAACATATTAAACAAAAAGAAAATTCCAAAGCTTTTAGTGGATAATCAGGTATTCAAATATTGGCTCCTTAACCTACTTTTAAAAGAGCACCTCTGTATTTTGAAACCACTGGGTTTCTAGATAATTTGACTTAAAAATGTTCACTATTATACTCTCATTTTTTTTGTTATATAAATATAAGAAGGAAAAATATTTCAAGCCTACGTATTTCCCATAATCTTTAAAATAGTGGTCCTTAATTTTCTTGGAGTCATGATATCATTTAAAATATGAAAACTTTGGACACTTCTCCCCAGAAAACTACATATGCACATAGAAAATTTAATGGGTTCCATGACTCTGAAGTCCAATCACAGACTCTATTCTTATTATCCTTTGGTTTAAGAAAGTAACCTTTAGGTAGAAATATTGATTTCAGCTTAAGGAAATACAGTATATCTGGTCTTTAACTTTAGGATTGGAAGAAATTATTTAGTATTTTAAATTTAAATATTTTTATTTTTAAATTAAAAATTTAAGTATTTAAATATTTTACTTAGACACAGTGCATTTACATGTGGTCTAAAATATGATTTAAAGCTAAAACATAAGTTATTTTGAATATTCTAAATAAAACGGGAATCAAATTCAGACCTTGAATTTTTTACCCCTTACATGTAATTTGTTTTCAGTAGGAGTGAATTAATAATTGCTTATTTTTATTTTTTTCTAGAACATCTTCCTAAGCTTCAACCCAGACCATATTCATGTGCAAGGTACTGATATTTATTAACATAATGTGTAGCATCTTTCTCCTAAAATGTTATGAAACTCCGACTTCCAAATCTTTAGTAGCTATAAATTCATTCAGTGAAAACTTGCCCAGTTTGTGGACGGCCGTAGGAGGCATGATAAGGCATGAAGAAGAGCAATCTTAGGACTCCTGTCTTCTGGGAGTTCATAGAGTATAGAATGGTCAGTGGCTCCAGTGGTCCAGAACCCTGTTCCCCACTTAGGGCAGCGAGTCTCCAGGTCCTCCATGTGCTGCCTTCATTGGTGTCCCCAGCTGCTTTTCTGGGCGGCGGAAGAGGGCAGGGAAGAGAGAGGAGAGTTTATATAAATCTTACCTCATCTTGTAAACAAGCAGGTCATTGGAAACTTTCCTGAATGATAACACAAAATGAGGGAGGGGAGCCTTTAAGTAAGTAAGAGCTCTTCTGAGGAGTTAGAAAGCAGGTTAGAGCCCATAAGGAAATATTTTCTCACTATAATAAAAAAGACGTGGTTTGGCCTGAAGATATTAGTCCTAATGCAGAGTTTAAAAGCATCTTTCTGTGTCTTTGCAGCTCAAGTCTGTTTCACCCAGGGAAGCTTCGTTTCATTTTTAACATTGTGGAGTTTCTGTCTAACACCACAATGGTGGTTCTGCGGAAAGGCGTGTGCACGGGCTGGCTGGCCATGTTGGTTGAATCATTTCTTCAGCCACACACGCATGCGTCCCATGCAAATGGCGGGAAAGCCCTGGCTCCGGAGGTACTAGGAGTGTTAGTTGTGGCATCGTTAAAATTATGCTCTTTGCCTGGTTAGAATAAACAATGTAGTCTCCCCTGCATTGTCCATTACCATCAAATTATTCCAAGGAAAATTTATGCCGTGCTTGAATATTAAAATCTCTGTTGGAAAGTCAGGAAAACATACTTATACTCACTATTAAATAGTCTGTGTATTTCCATGTCTAAACATGAATTTTATATAATATAGTCCTTTTCTCCTTGCTTGTAGCATTCGTAGAAGACCTTTTCTGTTAATATTCTTGGTAGGTTGGCACTGGGCAGGGTGGAAGGAGTCAAGTAAATATTGAAGGCTGGTGGTGAGGGATGGCCTCATTTTATGTTGGGTCTGTATCCTGTGTCCAAATAAGTAGTTTAAATTGGAGGTCAGTTGACAACCAAAGATTAATTTTATGTCCTTCAATTTTGGGTGGTGGGATTTCCCCTGCTCCTGTTTCTTCCCTTTGTCATAGCCATGGTGTGTGGAATCTAAATTAGAGCTGTTAGTGCTTAAGACATTATGAGGAGGAGTC